CCTCCATAGCATACGGTGCTTTTCATAAAGATGGGATCAATTCATTGCCTTACTAATCATACGTATGTATACCGCAATATATTTAGTCCGTAGCACTTGGTAAATTGAGCTTGTTGAGATTAATAGCTGATATTGTCTTGATCTATCCTTGTTACAGATACTTTAAACATCTTTCTCTGAACATCCCTGCAGTGCATCATAAATTTTAAGATTCCTTCAGTAGTAACTAGCTAAGAGATATAGTTATAAATCCTAAGTACTATAGAAAGTAATATTAATCTATATGATGATTCTACAGTGCTAAGTATCTGGATAATTGTCCGGTTTATCGTAGCCGGATGTCGTTTCTGGGCTCGACTGATTTTCAAGTAAGGAATTATTATATAGGGAGTAGAGACTGCTAGATACATGATTTGTAAGGAATTGTAATTGATTAAAAATTGACTAAGTCTGATTATCCAGTTTATCTTAGCCTCTTTCGACTGCTCTTATGAGGCAGGAGAAGTGATTTACGATAAACCTCCCAGAATATGATTTACATAGCGGTTTAATAAACCATTTGAATTTGAAGGCTATATATATATCAGCTATTCTTATTGTGAGATAAGATAGTGTTTTGCTAATTCTAGTAAACTGATCAATTATAAGTGAAGTGAGAGAGATTTCACAATCCCAAACTTGATTTCCGAGCTGAGGATAGTAAACCCTATTGCAAGATCAAATTGATACCAAGTAATTAAGCAAAGCATCACCGCAATTTTGTTTATTATCGCTTCAATATATTCATTATTTTCATATTATAATATTTTAATGCTTATGGTGACGTTTTATTTGCATACTTGCTATATATGACTAAGCTAGATTTGATTTAATGAGTATAGTTTACTTCAAACTTTTGCGTTAGTGATTAAAAGAGATAATTTTAAAGACAAAATAGCTTACATTTCAGAACTTCTATTTATACGTATGAACAAAGATTTTCATCCTTCACTGCTTTTTGATCGAATGGTTATCATTTTGATCGCTTAAACTTTGCTTAGAATTTAATAGCATAGATAACTGATGATTTACTGATGACCTCTGATAATTCCTATAATTTCATCGTCTAAATTACAAGCCATGCATTTGAATGAATCAATTGCAGTCATTATTTATGGTATAGTATATATCTGTATTTGCTTTTGATCAGTTTCACTAAGAATTAGATTATTGTATACTTCTCTCTTGATTATGGAGGTAAAGAGTTTATAAAGTAAAGCACACAATTTCTAATAATGAGAAAATGACCTCTTCAGTCGATAGGAACTGACGATAATGAAAAGTATTTAATGGCAATTTGTTAGAAATACAAAGTTAATTTCTTAACCTTATCCCATGTTACGACGACGATATTAAGCTTATCATTTACTACGTATACTTATCACTTATCAGTGAAAGAGGTCAAAAATGAAACTACCATATTACATCTTCATGTCATCATGATTAATCTAAAATCATGGTAAATGAATAAATTCCCTAGCACCTATTTCTTCAATTGGCATATGGATTCATACACTAATAATGCTAGAAACGAATTTAACATGATCATACCTAGTCCAGTGTTGATTATTAGCAACATTTCATGAAAAAAATTAGAGTTCCTTTACTCTGTAGACAAGTTCTTTAGATCAATAATGGCTTCTTGATAGTGATTCTGTAGATCAACAATGACTTCTTGATGAGAGCATAGTAAGGCTATTTTTCTATTCTATTGCTATACGTAGATAAAATTAATTTCATAGTACCGTATAACTAATTTTACAAGATTAGTCATAATGATATCTCGATGAGAATTGTCAAAGTCTACTTTCATATCCTGTTATTTTTATCTGAGAAAAAAATTCTTCTTATCTCTCCGATGATGTACAATATTTTTTATCCATTGTATCGCCACACCTTCATGTAGATAAGCTAACATCAAAAAATAGCTATAATAAAGCCCATCCCTAGATTGGTAGTACCATGATAATCTTATTGCTAGCAAGAACTTGCAGTGTATTGGCCTTGCATGATGATATCTACTCGTAAGTGAACAAAAGAAAAAGTGGAATTATCAAAAACCATTAAGAAAGTTATATCAATGGTTGCAGTTTGTATTTCTATTTTAAATTAACAAATCCCACCCACGTAATGAAATACTATTGGTTTCATCGTCTTATTCTAATCGTCTAATTATCAGGTGATATTCTCCTATTGGCTTTCCTCCCATTCTATTTACCTTGATGATTATAATAACCATATTTTGAAACTCTGGCAACTCTACTCAGTTGTCATCATTCATAGCCATAACAAATAATCACTATTATTAATCCGATCACGAATATACTCACCCTATTTTCAAATTAATAATATTAATAACAAACGATAAATCCAATTAGTAACAAAGCATATCTCTAAATTAATCCAACATTGCTCCAATGTTCTATTGAGGAGAGGTGATACAAAAAGCATGTCTACCCAATAGGAATGGATTAATTTTTTTTTATTTTCATCATTGTCACACATGAAAAGACTTTGCTTCGATTAGTTATCTGTTGTCGCAATTGAAAGCATAATTCATACTAGTCAAAGTGTGGATATGGCCAAGCTGATTCTTTCTGGTAATCTAATTTCGATCTTATTAATTTGCCAGATATTTTCTACTGCAACTATTAATGGTGAGCTGATTAATAACTTAAGAAAAAATAGTTGTACTTATAATCCTATTGACTAGCCTATTCAAATTAAGCTTAATGTTGTTAAACTGTGTATACCAAAATTGCAGAAGGTTCACTAGTAAATATCTTCGGTATTAATCGATTTTGCCTACCAACCGAACTGTAGTCTACTACAATTGTTGCTATCGTCTGACGATAATTGTGGGTTAAAAACATTATATTGAAAATAAGTACTTCAAATCGTGAAGAAATGGATTTGATCGAAAGCAAATAAGGAGAATAATAATGTTGATGTATCATACTCTGATGATAGTGATATATGAATATTAAAGGTTTTAATTTGAAAGGAATCATAAGAGATGATAGTATTTAATCATATTTTACTCTTAGTAACGTTAACCTTGAACGTATCTCCTCAGTGGCATGAATACAATTTTAATCGCAGGAATAGCTGATATATTACCTTATAAATGAAAACGATTATGATGCTAGAATTTGAAGAATTTCAACTCTCACATGGAGTAGGATCATTGCAAAATATCGAGTAGAAAAAAACTTATTGATTATAACTCAAGATTAATATACTGCATTTGAAAAATTGGGTAATCATTTCGGTCACGCAATCAAGATAATGTTTTGGTAGCAAAATAATTCTAATAAGCACCAATATTAGTCGAATCTGTAGTTATGATAAAGTTAGGATTATGACCTAAAAGTGATTGTAATTCGAGAATTGCGAAATAACCAGCCTGCAATTTACTAAAGCTGACTAAAGTATTATTACAACCAAGGCATATTCTCGTATTTAGGCTTTAAATATTGGGTCGTAATCAAAGTATCATGGAGAAAATGGTCTAATCAAAAATATAGAAAATCGGTACTAAAATCTCTACAATCATTTAATCGAAAAACTAGCCTCTAGTCACACAGATAATAGAAAGTAAAATGGGAATCGTTAAGTCTTAGTCTTGAAATGGAGTAACAAAATGATGTAATATCACTGCATAGATCTATAGATTGTAAACAATCGATGCAATTTCATATAAGATCAATATTTTATGAAATGATGGATTACATAAATCCTGACTACTACAATATATGCTTCTACTTTAAACTAAGAGGATATGATTTTATTTACTTCTACTAATTTTTGAGGATAAAAGTATCATCGTATAGAAGAGAGCAGCTTCTGATTCCTTACACCTTTTTATGCCGTCTCCACTACTAGTTGTAAATAGTGATGGTAGTAATTTCTATGCTCATGGTTTCGAAATTAATCTTATCTAGTTATTAATGTACTGATCAAGTAAAAATTCAATGTGTTTATCCGTATTAATGCTTCACTAAGAATTAGATAACCATTTAAGAAGGATTTTTACTTACGAGTATAAAACTCCATGGCCTAGAAATTAGTTAATCAAGTAAAATAATTCAATTTTTCTATCCACATTAATGCTTCATAACGAATTAGATGATCAATAAGAAAGATTTTTCCCGATGAGTATAACAGTCCATGCTTTAGAATTAATCTTGTCTAGTTATCAATATATTGAGCATAAAATTTAGTTTTTGTATCCATATTAATACTTCAAAACGAATTAGATGATCATTAAGGTTTTTCCCGATGAGTATAACAGCCCATGGTCTAGAAATAATTTTGTCTAGTTATTAATGCAGTGAGCAAAAAAATTTAATTTCTTTTTCTACATTAATGCTTCATGACAAATTCATCGATCATTCAAGAGAATTTTTCCCGATAAATATATCAGTTCATGGTCTAGAAATAATTTTTTCTACTTATTAATTTATTAAGTAAAAAAATTTCAATTTTTCTATCCAAATTAGTACTTCATTATCAATTGGATGATTGTTAAGAAGGGTCTTTACCGGCGGATATAAATGATTTTGAGAATGAAATTTGAAAGCAAGTTGGGACTTCTAAATTGATCTGAAATTTGATTACTTTAAATTTAGCCACCTTAGAATTGATCACTTTCAAGTTTATGGGCCGATAGAACTAATCCTAGATTACAATAGGGAGAGCAATAATTTGCTTATGCATTTAAATATTAATTTTGTGCACTCCGACCAAATCCTTTCATTAGGCTAACAAATTATTTCGCCGTTCCTTCCCTATGTTGATTTTTATCAGTTATATTGCGTAACATCTATTTCTTATGAACTAGCAAACATCTGGACCTTCCAATTCTAAATTACATTCGATTATCATCTTTAGCCATATAATACGTCGTGTTATAACAAAAAGATTTCTCTTGTCTAGGTAACAGTATATCATTAACTCCAATGCAAGTTAATGTCAATATCAATGCTGATATCGAATTAACTGCCGGCTATAAAGGCAAAATTCTGGAGACATTTTGGTACCGAGGGAAAACTTTATTATTTCAGTATCTTTATCCTTTCAATCAAACCATCTATCAGCAATCAACTGATTCGCGCATAGATATACAGCGTATTTTTGATGAAGGTTATGAAATATTGTATATTAACAACAGCAATATTGGCGATAATGGAGTTTATATAGCAAGTGTCTGGTTTGAAGGAGCTCCCGCACCAATTCAAGCAACTGCATCGGTAATCGTAGAAGGTAAGGTCGATTTATTATTTTTAATTTATTTTCAATCACCTTGATTACATCGGCTGGAACTAGTAGATAAAATTTATGCGTGTTAATTATCGAATAAACATCACCGAATCAACTGCAATACCAGATTTATATCCGGAAAAGGCCACATGATATACTGTCTTGATATCCTCCCCTAATGATGAACTATTTCATCTACTATTTACTAGATTTGCCGACAATTACTGCTAACCCAAAAGATAGCAATGTTACACTAACGAGCAATGCTACCTTTACTTGTCAAGCAACCGCTGTACCTCCTATTTCTGACTACAAATGGTATTTCAATAATACATTAATAATTCCTCTTAGTTCTCATTATGTCATACGAGGATCAACACTTTACATTCTATCAGCAACATTGGATGATATTGGCAGTTATTCTTGCATGGCTAGTAATGCCCTTGGTCAAGCAACTTCCAAAACGGCATTTTTGAGAGTTTTGCGTAAGGAGATAGATGAATTTCAATTTCGATATCGATTTCTTCGATATTGTTGAACTGAAAGGTCGGGTTAGTCCTCTTTTCAAGTCTGACTGAATGCTTTTTTAATGTCTTAATTTAGCTGAGAAATACGTCGAACTGCAGTCACCTTCCAATGCAATTATGGTTGGAGATTCTATAACAGTATCTGCTACAATTATTGGGGAACCTGTAGCAACAACATGGTATTTCAAAACTCGACCACTCTTTACCTATTTATATAAAGGTAACAGTAATACTGGGATAGCTTTATCAAAGAACGAGAGGATTGATTTTAAGCAGAAAGGAAGCTTAGGAAATTACCACGAAGAAATGACGATTCGGGATGTTTTATTATCGGATACCGGTGTTTATTCAATTCAAGTATTCTTTGTTAAAGGCGGTTTTACACAACGATTATTAAATTATCATTTAACAGTTCAAGGTAATCAAATAAAGTTACTTTGCAGTCTCTCTACCCTAGCTTAGTGGCAGCAAATTAAGGCCAAACAGGAATCGATCAGTAGGTTTTATTGTGATGTACAGTAGTTAATCATGATCTGATTTCGATAAGAAGCTGTCGGAACTCGAGCTGTTACACGTATTCTTATTTTGTATAGCCATTTCGGAGGCAATCGCCCTGCTTCAATATCAATATATTACTTAAAAACATAATAATAACTACTTAAACTCCCTCTCTTCATGATACTTTCTATGGCTTCATGAATTGAATTAACCTTAAATGGAATTTTCCTTCATCTAATAGGACCTCCAGAAATCATAGCCGCTCCACAAAACACGGCGCTGTTTGATGGAGAAACTGCAAGATTTTCATGTGGTGCCTCTGCTATACCTATACAAACCACAGTTACTTGGCATTATCAAGGCCGCCTAATTGATTTTAGGAGCAACCGATTTTCCATTTTATCCAATAATAACACATTGCAAATCGAAGATGTTTTACTAACGGATGCTGGAATATATAGTTGCGTTGTTAATAATTCCATTGGTGCTAGCCCAAATGTGTCGGCTTGGTTATTCGTTAACGGTAAGTTTCATGAAATTGCTTTTAGCCTTGATAGAGACATTATGAAGATAGAGCAATAATTTCGTATAATTTTGTAAATTTAATCAATAATAATATAACTAAGCGATGCGATATACATGATCCACGGTATTATCCCTTACGACACGTCTTGGCATTACTCTAACTATAAGAAGCAGAATACAATCTGTTAAGCTTGATCCGATGATAATTTTGCATTTTTGAAAAATTAGTAAATAACAAAATAATTAAGCGATGCAATATACGTAATCCGCTACGCTACACCTTAGCGTTACTCTATCTATAAGCAAAATGCAAACTATTAAATTTGTTAGGATGATATTTTTGCTTATTTTGGCTAATTCCATCAACAATAAAGTAACGAAGCGATGCAATATATGTAATTTAAAGTATTATCTACTATGACACGTTCTATCATTACTCTAACTGTAAGAAGCAGAATTCTATCTGTTAAGTTTGATATTTAGCCCAAATCAAGATAGAATGAGATTAAAATAAGACTAATATGAAATCGATTTTATAATGTCAATTCTCATCTTTCTGCTAGTCAACAACACGGTGAGAATAACACCTAGTTACGCTCAAGTCAATTTTTCACAAAATATTCAAGTTACAGTAACTATCCAAGGAGCTCCAATGCAATCATACTGGTATTTTCAAGGAAAATTATTGTACCAGTATATTTTTTCTCCAATGATTGAAATTAAATCGATGGCACATTCCAGAATGGCAGTTCAATATAATTCGGCAAGTCAATATGAATACAATCAGTATTTTTCCATTAACAATACTAATTTCTTGGATAATGGAACTTATACATTAACTGTAATGTTTAATGGTCAGTCATTAATGACAGTTTCGAAATCCTTCCAGCTCTACGTTCAAGGTATTAACTGCTACGGGTACCGATGGAAATAGCATAACATTTAACTCTATTTTCTTCCGGTTAACTATGGTTAACATTCAATTATTTATAATAAAATTCTAATCAATTTACGTAATAATCCTTTCTAACCTAATATATTTATGATATCTTGTCATGATACATGTTAAAATTGGATAGGTCCACCTATTATATTGGTATCACCTCAGAATCAAACCATTCGATATAGAAATGGTGTCCAATTTTGGTGCCTTGCTCGAGCTATTCCTACTGATATTCAATATGATTGGCGATTTAATGGCATACCCGTTAATTTATCGGATCCACGAATTTCAGTTAGCATGGAAAACAGTTCCGTATTAACCATTGCTAATGTTAGCCAGTATGACGCTGGAAGATATACCTGTAAACCCATCAATTCCAGAGGTGCTGGTCCTCAGGTAGCAGCGAATCTGGTTGTTTTATGTAAGTTTATCCGATACAATCATCTTATTTATCATGCAACCGCGCAGCTATGAAAGATTCAGTTAGTTTTGCAGTATTATATGTACGCGTATATTTAGGATAATATCATAAAGACATGTAAAACTGACCTAATATAAAAGTTATGGTATGGCGAATACTAGATTGGAGTATTTCAATAACTCAATACTTCCTTTAAAAGTATTTATAGTTTAGTTTAAAAATAGCATCTTGGATATTGTTGACATTGCGTTGGGACTTCCTGCTAAACTAGAGATCACTAAAAGCACTTGGCTTCTTCCTTTAGCCTGCTTAATAATTTCGTTCCATCTTTCAATTGTAACTAATCTTCCAATATTTCTGAAGCACATTTATGAATTTAGTCAGGCATCAGCTAAACTAAAGTAGTTACCACAATAATAGCCATAATATCTCCGAGATCATTCCATTCCTTCGATATAAAATTGCAATAGAATATTTAAATACTATAGCAGGATTGTAAATTTAATATTATTAATATTAGGGCCATATTTTAGAGAATGCTGCATAATTTAGAGAATAATAAAATTATGCACAGATTAAATATTAATATTACTGTTTTACATGCTGACTCATATAATTGTAACACAATAAAAAGTCAATATTGAAGATGATATTACTGTGTAATAAAGATATTTCTTGCATTCAGGTTATCTACCCTAATTTAATCTTTTAATATAAAATATACCTTTAATAACACCACTGCGTTTCACTAATATTTTAACTCATCTATCAGATTTACTAATAAAATAAGCAAATGATTAACATTAATAATCGTCTTGTTTTAGATTCACCTGAAATGATTCAGCTTAACCCTGTACAAAATATTATCACAGTCAATCAGAGTAATAACTTATTGGTAGCATGTTCAGTTCAAGATCGCGGTTATCCACCTGGCAATGTAACGTGGAAGCAGACCAATTCATCTAGCAATATCATTACTGAAGCTTCAAGTTCTGTCCATCTTAATTTAATTGATATTGCTAGTTCCGAAAATGGAAACTCTTATACTTGTATCATTAACAATGAAATTGGTGTATTATCAATCCAGTTTTCCTTAGTCGTGCAAGGTAGGTTTCCTAGAGATGATCAGTTTTCAGCAATTGATATAGTCGTTTTGGTTATCACTATTACTTTACTATGCCATTAAAGATACTTTTGCTATGATGATATTGGAATAGTGCTAGTTTTCGATTTGTTAATTGTAGACAATTAGCTAGTAATGTTATTTACATGTGTAGATGTTTGTAACACCGATTAGAACGTAAATTTAAATCTTTATGATTGCTAATAGTTATTTCCTTTGATATCTATCAATGATGATAAAAGTGATAGTTTTTGTATCTGTTACGTATATCGCCACTAATGACATTTTAAGTAATCTATTACAATGAAGAAGGAGTTTAGTACTTACCATTTATATCTAGTTAAGCGATATGAACAATTTTTGCTGTTTGTGCATCTATAGCGAATAACTAAGTTCACACCTTACTTTTAACTTGAGAAGATTTGGAAAAGCAACCATTTAATAGTATACATGTCTTAATATTCTTCTCTGTTATCCGATAGAACATTGTAAAAGTGCAAATCTAACTCACTATTTACCATTAAATTAAATAGACTCTAATTTTACCATCATTTACCTGTATGTCAGTGCTAACGATGGGATTCCTCTTAACTTCTACGCGTATTTAGTGGCACCTCGTATTAATGGAATTCAAAAATCGATCACTGTCGTTCAAAATACTGGCGTTAGGATATGGTGCAATACTACTGCTAATCCACCTGCTACCGTATCGATCTCAGCAACAATAACTGCTAATGCTAATCAAATTATTATTGCTCAAGGACGTGGCCTAGCTACGACTAATATCGTTCCAACATCAGCCGATAATGGAGCGATTTATACATGTGCAGCTAGTAATTTATTAGGTAGTGTTCAAGGAACAACAACTTTGAACATTTTATGTAAGTAAGCTTGATCATCATCTCAAGATTAGATAAATAGCAATAATTAATTTGATAGAGTTTTTCTTTTGCGAAGAAAAATTGACAGATAAAAAACTTCATTTATGTTAAATAGCAGCAAATATTTCTTAATATAGACTTTAAAATATCGCGTAAGTAATATTTTGCAAACCATTGTAGATCCTCCCAGTGGAATATACCTATCACTGCCTAATTCAGTCTTAACAGTTCGAGAAAATACTACTAGTAATATTAACTGCACTATTCGAGATCGTGGCAATCCTCCAGCTAATGCGACTTGGATTATCAACAATCAAGTAGTTTCGACAGGTAGTAAGACAGCCCAATTACAGTTGTCGAATATCAAATATAGCTCAAAATCGAGGGAATATATCTGTCAAGCCAAGAATCCGTTTAATACTATTAAAGATTCGTTTGCACTGGTAGTTCAAAGTGAGTTTTAATAATTAAAAATACGGATAGGTTTTAAATTTTAACAAATTGGCAACTGCTTGTCCATGAAGGAGAGTAAATTGCTAATAAAAAAAGCTCGTAGGCACTATTTGTTAAGTGGAAATGCATCATGAATAATAATTAACAGTTATTATCAAATATTCAAATATTAAATAATATTCTGTTTGCAGCATATCCAAGGATTGCAGCATTTCCGAAGACTATAAAGGCAATAGCAAATCAAAATTTTAATTTATCATGCACTGCAATTGCTTTTCCATTACCCAATGTAATTATATCATCGCAAGGCAACAATGGTCCTATCTTAAATAGTCATGGTATCTCAAGCTCTTCCTTGATGTTGCAGCCGCTACCTTCAGAGAACGGGAAAATATTGACTTGTCAAGCTAGCAATATTGTTGGAAGTATATCAAGTACAACACAACTAATAGTTTTATGTGAGTATTTCTAATTTTCGGTATTCATAAGATTAATTCAGTTCAATCCGCCTATAATTACTGGATCTTTCATTCTTATATTAGACTATATTAAAGTGTATTTACTATATTTCAACCATTAGATCCACCAATTTTTACTGGAGTATTAGGAAATGGGCCAACTCTGGTTGTTGCCAATCGAAGTCAAGACATTACTTTACCTTGTATTGCTATGGGCAATCCTTCTAATTTGACTTATAATTGGATAAGAATTACTCCACAAGGTGCTGAAATGCCTCCTAATGCAATCCAGTTTCCTAACGCAACGCTATTCATTTCCAATGCCTCGGTTAGTTATGATGGAGTATATTCTTGTAGAGCTAATAATGATATCGGAATTGCAAGCAGAAATGTTACAGTTCGAATCACAGGTAAGAGAATTCTTCATTATCTTTTAGTTATAACTCAGCGCACGGAATATTATAATTATTTATCATGCTATTCCTATCAAACTGATCAGCCAATGGCAACTAAATGAACGATAATAGCTAACTACTTCTGGTATTGCTGCGATATTAATATAAACATTTGTGTAATACTAGAATCAATTATTTAATTGCCCTATATTTAATCGTTTTCGTCTAGAATCGCCACATGTCCTCGTTAACAGTAGCACATCTACTTCGGCACAATCATTTACGAAAGAGAATACGGTTCTAACATGTTCAGCAAGTGGTTATCCTTTGCCTGTCATTGCATGGAAATTAAATGGACTATATCTGCAAGGACAATCTTCCATTAATAGTAGTGTTCCACAAAGTCTCGTAAATAATATACAGATCCTAAACGAAGTCGCTAACTCTGTCTTAACAAGCACTTTAAATATAACAAATGTTGTTGCAGCGAATGCTGGCACTTATACTTGTCAAATATCCAATGGCTTTGGCAGATTTTCTTATCAAATTGCGCTTGTTGTAAATACTAAAAGTACGTACCTATGAGTGTGACAATTTTCCTGTCTTAACTAGTTATAGTCTTCTCAAAAAATATAATCTTATACCTTGGATACTGCATCATCTTATATAAACTTTGATAATACTAGCGGTATGAAATAGAATTGAAAGCTATATATTCGATTGCTTAATCAATATTCTTATTCTCTCTCTCTTCGTATACATTTAGCCATTCCTCAGCCTCCACACTTATTATTCACTACCAATATTACCACATCAGCGATTGCCTTATCTTGGCAAGCTGGTGCTAACGGCTTTTTATCCCAACTATTTATGATTTATTATCGAGTTGAAAACCAAGGAGATTATCTATTAGCTGGGAATACTACAAGCACAAACTATATCCTCAGCAATTTACAGCATCGCACCACCTATCAAATTTATGTGATAGCCAGAAATTCATTAGGCTACAGCCAACCGAGTAGTACTCTCATCGTTACAACGTTAACTAGTAAGTTCGAGTTTTCACATCCTCTTAAGTGTAACTAAATGCTAATCCATAATCTAACGTCAATCATGTACGATATATTACCTGTAAAATTAGATATATGGTTAAATATTTAAACTTCTTCAGAAGGATAATTTCTATTTTAAATAATATTCTCTGTTATTGCAATCAATAGATGACACATTATTATTAGCAATTATTGGTGGAGTTATTGGTGGTGTTCTTGTGCTCCTGTTTGTTTTGATCATTATTCTTTTAATTAAGCGAAATGGTAATGCTAAAAAACTAGCAAAATATTCTGTGCAGCAATCGGAGGCAAAGAATTTAAAATGTCGACAAGAATTAGTCAAGCGACGAGAATCAAATTCGATCAATGCTCATTCCAATCCTAATTATGATAATTCTACACAGCAACAATCATCTCGTATCAATGAGGTAGAAGCAGGAAGTAGTAATAGTAATAGTAACGGTGCAGCGACTACAGTGGATGCACCACAAGTTGAAAACGAAACAGAAATCACTGTAAATGATTCACAAGTTGCTAAAGTTAATCAAATCGGTAATGATCAAGTGGAAACTGTAGCTCAAGATTCGCAAGTTCAAGTGACAGTTAATAACAAGGAAAGTGAAGTTAAATCGGCTATCACTGCCAGCTTTCAAGCTGAAGTTGGAGCTAATTGTGCCGAGTTGGAGATGATGTTGTAATATTGGAATCAAGCGATACTATACTGTAGTAGCAGAGCCGTGCTTATGCGTAACTGAATTCTATAAAATGTAAATTAAGGTTAGAGCGAAAGCATGAACTTGCCCGCAATTTTTTTGTCCATTTTATATAACAGTGTAGCCTATATCTTCTAAAATACAGGGTAACAAACTGATGGAATGGAAAAATATCTGCTAACTTTGTTCTTATTCGATACCGTAAATAGCTATAGAAATTGAAATAATGGTACCAATTGTCTGTTCTTCAAGTATTGCATGTATCTGTAAATTAACTGTGCTCTAGATTACCTAATTTCCATCCTTTTACTGCTAATAAGAAAATAGTGGTGTACAGTATATGACTTGAAAGTGTGATTGAAAATATAATGATTTGCAGGTTAGCATGGTAGACTTTAGATTGATTACTACTTCTGTTATAACTATAACATTGTAAATTTTGTTATTATTACTATATACAGTTATTGATTCTGTGTTTTTGAATAGCTGCAGGAATTTCAGCCATTCAAATAAAAAATTTTTATCATATATAAAGCAGTTCAGCACCTATCGCGGCAAAATTTATCTAAGTATTTTCGTGAATGGAGTAAACTGCGGGTATATTGAGTTTGGCTTTGCCAATATGAATAAGTAATAGAGGATCTTAGTAGCTTCCTGGGATAATTCCTGCAAATAAAAAATTAACCTTATGATAGTTGGTGTCACCAATAGCACTCTCAAATATTTATCAATCTGAAATAATATTATGGTCAGGATAGAAAATCCCAAATCTGTTATCATCGTCAGCAACGCGCCAGGGTGTATTAGTAGCATGTAATTAGTATAAGTCGTTATTTCTGTAGTACTGCAAAGTAGATCAGAATGATTTTCTTTATCCTTTAACTGAAGAGTATTGCAGTATTTAGAATAAGACCATGGCTATACAGTAACAATAATTATGAAGTAAGCTGGTGATATCTAATGAAAGTGCTACGCCAAGAATATAGTACAGAAATCGCTAACAATAAAGCACGAAATTGCTGCACTCTCTTTACCAAACCACAGAATAGAACAAGACTATCCTTACCTATTTACTTCCTAAATATTAAGGTGACTCGTTACAGTCGGTTATCTCGTTGGTTGTACAAATTGACTGATAAGATCAATTGTACTTGAGCTCTAAAAACGAAAAAATGATTAGAGGTAAAAGTACAGTCTAATCAACGCCCTAACTCCTGTTATTGCTGGAGGTAACATAATACTTTTATTCTTTTGCTGCTAATTAGAAAACAGTAGCATACAGTTCACTACTTGAAAGGGTAATTGAAGATATCGGCGTAAATAGTATGCAAGATAGCGATGGTAGATTTTAGCTAGATCGTAACAACTGTTGTAACTACTGTGTAGCATTGCAAGTTTTGTTATAATTACCATTATATAATTATATATAGTTATTAATTCTGTGTTTTAGAATAGCTGTAGGAATTTCAGCCATTCAAATAACATTTTTTATGTGGCATACGCGAGCATATAAATCATTTTAGCACCCATCGTGACAAAATGTACCCTAATATTTTTTTAGATGGAGTAACATATATTAAGTTAGGCTTTGCCAATACGAATACGTAGTAGCGCATTTTAATAATTTCCTGAGATAGTTCTCGCAAACACAAAGCTAACCCTACGATAGTAGGTATCATCAATGTACCCTTAAAGATTTATCAATCAACGTGAAGTTGTTTATTCATGAGCTATCTTCGTCTCATAGTTTATTGATATACAATATCCAATAATGATACAATTTCATGACAATTTGATGACTAATACTGTATCAAATTGTTGGCAATCGGTAATGCGACGACATATAAATATCTATCCAGAGTCGTAATACTGTACCGCCATCGTAAGGCTATAAAAAGATTTTCCCTAATATTAGATCAAATATGTCCGGAATATTTAATTTAAATATGGATTATGATATATACGATGCTAATCAAGATATAATTATCTAGCTGCTATAAAATTTAAGTACTGACATAAAAATTGGTTTTAAACACATCGTAGTTGAATTTCTAAATCTACTTAAGCTAAATCAATAGTAAAATGCATTACAATGACAATCTAGAGTCTAACAGTTTCACAGACACCGCGTAATATTCGGTGCCTATGCTTTTAGGGGCAATGAAATATAAAAACTCTATGTACTTACGTAACTATTTACTTGAACTACAGCAACAAGCACATTAGTCAAGAAGACTATACAATCACGTAATACGTACGACAGACAATTGAAATAACTTTCTGCCGTAAACAGTAAGTATATCTTAGTGACCGTACTAAAGTTCAATTTCAGTTATTTATAATTCAGAATGTTTTTCATCAGCATTTTCTTGCTTATCGTCACCTTTTTTCTCTTCCTTAGAGTTTACCTTACTATTTTCATTATCAGATTGCGATTCAGCAGTATCATCCGGTTTGTCTTGGTCTTTTCCTTCTGTAGTGGTTTTTTTATCGTTTTCAGCTTTCTTGGCTGCTTCCTTGGCGGCTTTCTTTGCGGCCTCTTTCGCTTCTTTTTCCGCTTTTTTCTTAGCTTCTATCCTTTCAGTATATCTTTGAAGCTTCTCTACCAAGTAAGAAGTCTCACGACGAAGTTTTGATGCTTTGTTATTAATATCATTGGAAAGAATGGTCGGATTCTCCGTTGGCACTAGTTTATCTTCTTTTTCAGCTACAGTTTTCATCCAATTCTACATATATGGAATAACACCATTACATTTTTGTAGTCAATTAAAAACCAATAAAAATTTTGAATAAAGTATACAAGTCACCTTTGTTTCATTGTATAATTCAGAGTACTCTTTGAATTCACTTTCAGTAAATGGTGCATCAGCGGTACTATTATAACTAGTTAAATTTTTCATAAGATTTATAAAGTGTACAGTATGATTTAATTCCGATTTTAATGCTTTCAATGCTTTTGGTCTTAGTTTACGCTCTTTAACTCGAAAGAATATATCCTTAGCTTGTTCCTTAAGACTTTCCAAACGTTGTTTATAAGTCTACAAACATTTCATTGCATACAATTCGAAATTAGTCTAATTCTAACAAAGTTAGTGTAGCATCGCTTATATATATTATTAATTTCTAACTTGGCTTATTGGTACTGACATAAATAGAAAGAAAATCATACAATCATATTGGTAATTAAATTTTGTAAAGATTTATGACCGGCTCCGCAATATTAAAAATTTACCTTGGTATCTGCATTAAAGCCGTCTTCGTATAACCATTCTGATGATTCTGATAAGGTCTCCCTTAGCTTGCTCCTTTCATCTTCAGTAGAAACTGCTTCAAAGGCTTCAGAATATAGTTTATCTTGTGTATCTACAATATATGACTCTAACGAGTTCATGGCTATTTCTCTAGCTTTCTTTTCAACATCACGTCTTGTTAGTTCCTCCAATCTATTTCGATGATCGAAAAAAGATAGCTTTACTTACATTTCATGCAAGATAATGTTACATGATAGAATTATTTCATACTTGTCGATTGATGCTTTGATGGCTTCTTTGGGTGGTAATTCCATATCTAAGTGTTCAACGGTGATTGTTATCGGCTCTTTAATTACTACCAATTTGGGAGATGCATCTTTAGTAGCTGTGCCGTTGGTAGTATTATTGGTATCAGTAGTCGTAGCATTTGCTGTGGTATTTTGGGTTTCAGTCTTTTCCTTTGATTTATTTTCTATAATTATTGAGTGTATCAGTTAAGAATATCTATCTTATGCAAAGAAAAAAGTCCATCCAAAAGTTCATGACAAATGAATTTACCCGCTAAACTAACCTTTGCTTTCTTCTTTATCATCAGTCTTTTTATTAGAATTTTCATTTTCATCCTTTTCGCTATCCTTATTGTTATCTGCTGAGTCCTAGTATTTGAAAATGGTACGCTTAACTCTCGATAACCTTTACATTCCTCTTTGTTACTTAAAAAATTCATTTACTTTGACTACTTCAGGATCGCCATTATCATCTTTAGAACCAGAAAAGAAGTTCAAAATATTACTTCCAATTTCTAAATAAAATGGGAATTATAAGATCAGCCAGCTTATTAAACTAGTCCAATCTTTGATGTATACGGATACACTTACTAGAAAACGTAGATTCTTCTGCACCATCCAGGGAGGACTTAGTTTCAAAAATTGCTTCGGCCTAATTGCCGTGAATGGTAGATAATATTTAAAATAATAGCACAGCTAATTAAGGTAATATCTCAGGTAAAAGAATCAAACTGACAGAGTCTAGATGGAAAAGGCCATGGTCATCAAGTCGAAAATGTACTTTTATGCCCTTGCTTTCAGCTTTATCGACATACTTGGAAAATATATCAGTTACTCCAGACAATTGGTAACGCAAGAGTTCTCGATTACCGTGCATTCTACAATTTACATCGAAATTTCGATTACTATATTTTAAGACATTTAATTTCAACAAGTGGTCGTTTACATAGATACTACAATTACCGAACAACATTGTCCTTAGTATTCTCAGGAATAACGTAATCAACATCAATATGGAAGTCTCTAGTCAATTTATTAATTGTCACAACTTTTCTCTGAGGTATTGGATTGCCGCGTGGAAATAACTGAATACGCTTTTTCGCCTCTGACGATGTTTCACTTTTGCGATCATAGCTAATCTGCAATTTAAGAGTTATGTCATTGAACATATTACGAAAAAATGATAAATAAATAAATGATAGGTATCGATATCTTTGTTGCGACCATTGAAAAATAATATTTAGGAGTCGTACCTGTATAGCGTATGGGTTGCTATCTTTAATTAAGAATTTTTTAACTCGAAATCCTTTTCCTAAGGAGGCAGCTTGGTAAACGGAACCTAAGATTTAATGCTAATATTAAATGAAATCTTAACCTTTTATAGCCTCATGTAAATTACGTTACCCATAGCTGCTGCTTCATCTGTATTTAGACTTTTTCCCAGTTCATCCCTAGAGTAGATAAAGAGGGTGCTCGATGTCATTCTCATAATCAACGCAAAGATAGCATCGAAATAAATCTATAGACCTTTTAATAGCTTTAAGTAACTCTGATTGAACTTTAGGGACTCTTGTTGAACCACCAATTAGAATGACTTGTTCAATTTCATCCTACAGAATTCATAAAAATTACTTAATAAATTCTATCTGTGCATTTTAAGACATAGTATTAGCTGCAGTATGCAGCCTTTACGGCCGATGATGATTCAACATCTACTTTCCCCTCGGAAAATCTAATAACAGGAATCATTTAGAGAACCAGAGATACTTACCAGAACAACATTGGCAGCCCTTAATGCATTTCTTATAGGTGTAGAAACTTTTTTAAATAAGTCGCTACATAGTTTCTCAAATTCTTCTCGTGTAACTTTCGTTCGAAAATCAATGCCATTGTACAAATTTTCGATCTATACAAAATGTTTTACACAAATTTTTAATGCAATCAATGTACGTATTGGTACAGCAGCACTAACTTCTGTTTCTACAAATAGAATGGTTACGAATTTTAGCAATACAATGTATTACATTTTTTAATAAATACTGCATCAAATGAAGCACTATTCTTAACTTAAAATTTTAAACTTCTTTGTTATAGTACAGACCCGTGCAAAGTGATCAGCATTAGCACTTAAAACTTTTTTCACTCTATGAGCTTCTTTCAATAGTTTTGCCATAGCTCGAGGCGATTTAGTAATATCGTCCTTTGTTTTACCTTGTTTCTGCAGAATGAATTTAGTTACCGACAAAAAAATTAAGTCAGCGGTATACATCGTTAGGAGAGCATAATTAATCAATCCGATGTTTTACCTTAAATTCTTTCAGTAAATAATCTCTTAAACGTAAATCCATTTCTTTCCCTCCGAGTGTACGGTCAAATCTATTCCATTTTAATCAGAGATTACCAATGTAAAACCCATGTTAACATGATTACAGAATCTGCAATATCACTTAATATTTTATTTACTTACCCAACACCCATAATGTGTAATTGAGGTAATGTTTCAGAAAGTCCAGTTTCTTTCCTTCCGACAGTTTTGTAGCCTAGTGTTGTCGATACCGTAAAGTAGTTCGTAGTTTAGTATATTTTTACAGTAACTGCGGTGATAAAACCGAAATACATTCACTACATACTTGCAACGGTAGCAGAAGTACTACTAGAGCCCATGTCGTAGAAGAGAAAAATCTGCAAAACAGTTACATTGTTACATCAGACATTTGACTCAACATATAATATAGTATGATACTGTTGCTATTGCAGCGGGTAGTTGATAATATATTTATACAATACTGTACATAATAAGACGCATACTTTCTCCTTGCTACCAAATGATGATCTTCTGAACATGCCAAAATTGAGGCCAACTAGTTATAATTTTTTTTTTGATGGAGTTATATAGTATTACGGTAATGATTACGAAACATAATCGATTGTGATAAACGATGAATAAAAGATAATGTATTATAAAACCTGCAGCGTTGTCGTTCATAAGTTGGAGAATATTTAAGCCGGAAATATTTGCAGCTCTAAAGTAAACAAAAATAATAATAAGATAAATTTGGGTAACATATCAACTCTACAAGTACATAGCATACACATCTATGCTTACACGTATAACGCATTTCTTTCTGCTTGATTGAAATAAGGAGGGACAGTGATTACAGCATTATCAATTGGTTGACCTAAGCAATATCACAATGACGATAAGTATTCCTATGTAACTTTTAGCATCTTAGCATCTACTGACCAGTGAAATCTGCTGCAATTTGACGAGCATGTTGTAGTATCATTCCGATAATTTCTTCAGGTGTGTAGGTAGTTTCACTAAATTTTTACAATATATAAGCAATTAATTAGGTCACCAAGGCTGCTATGTAAATTATATTGTAGGATAGTATGAGCTGTAATTGTCTATCATTGTAGCGAGTACACAGTTAAGCACCTGTCATGTCGAAATCGAACTGCACCCGTCTTTTCGTCTTTTTCTAGTTCATAAAAAGGAAATCTACCATAATTAATTAATGAAAGTATGAGTAATAATCAAAATGATATTTGCAGCTCGTTCTTTAAATAGCAAGTGCATGGAGTTGTATTACATTCTACTATCGTAATTCAACTGTACTATTAAATAAGGGTACTGTAATATTATTAAAACCTCTTCTTGTATAATTCCACCAATGGGTTATCAAACTTTTTACCAAGTATGTCAAGAACATATATGTAAGCATTTTTAGGAGATTTAACGCTCTGTAATATGAAATACCAATATTTTTTTAGAGCTCAAAGACCACAATTAATTAATGAACCGATACAAAGTTTGAGCAAGTGCTATCAACTTATGATTATAAGTCATAGCTATGTACTCATATTTACAGTATACTCTATATCGACATCATAATAGTTATCGTTTTTATACGCCTGCAGTTATAATGAATACGATGCACACGTACATACGAGACTATATTGCAATGTATAGTATGTAGTGTATCTTCATAAATGTTGTATACTATGTGGAAAGATGCTTACTACAGCAAGTGCTGAGTCTCCAAATAAACGTTCGCCATCTTTGATGGAAACTGCCGCTGGTGACTTTCGTTTGGACTCTCTGAATGTTAACAATCGTATGCAAATCCATCATTAAGATAGGGTCGTGATATTTTTATAATTCTATTCAGATTCTAGCTAGGATTGGCAAGGTCATAAACATTGAGCCACTATCTCGACTTACGCATTCAGAGCGATTTCCATAGGAACACCAGGCTACCCAAAAAAGTAATTTTAGTAAGTTTACTTTTATATATTTGCATCGAGATCAATTAAATGACAAATTGAAGGGGGAAAGAATGTTATCACATAGTAAGAATTATTACCTTGACTATGGCAACCTTGATCCATTCACTACCCAAGTCTACGGACATAATAGAGAGTCCTATTCAAGATAGAAGAGTACGTTGTGCTATTAGTTATGAATTTTCAACGTTATAGTAGAATTAGCAGTAAATTTTTTGCTACAGAACTTAGGTATGAAGAAATAATGTATTTGATGAATTATGGACTGTATCAATCGCAACCAAGACGCGAACAAGTCATTCGTTTATCAGCAATTTTTATTCTACGGTATAACACGTTCAATATTTGTACCTTGGCAGTGATGAACATAAAGAACTAGCCAGAGCGTAAAGCAAACCAGTAGGCGACAACGCATATCTGAATTCTATTACCTACAAGAAAGATATAGAATCCGTTCTTATATCATACAACAGATAACAGTAATCGTATTATCATTTCATTCTTTTATCGATTAATGTAACACTGTTATCGAATGAATTTAACGACAGTGAAAACCAAGCCTAGTCCATTCAATCTATCATCTATCCCGTATATGGAGTCTCTACTAAAGGAGTTCGATTTATGCGTTTTATATTCCATATAACATCCTATTAACAATTTATCATTATTGCCGCCTATCTTTCAATCAAAGCTGGAATGTATCAATTTGATTCCTTTTCTTCAATATTTTTTAAGTACTAGTATCAACAATAGCCAATATTGAAACGGTTGCAATGTTATATAAATGAACAGCTTCAAAAGTTAAACACATTGCTTTTATTCATACCCTACCTATATCACGTAAGAGGTTAATGTCAAACAAATGGAGAGTACAGTAGTGATTACACTATAAAGATATGTAGTATCTAAATGACCAAGATACCAGTCGTGGTTTACTGTAGAGTTGGAGTAGAATAAGTACCGTACCGCTACTTGGGTAACCAATTCGATTTATGGCACTTTATGATTCCCTTTTTCCAATAATATGATAATTACTACATGCTCAAAAGACTAGTCATAAAAGAGACTGATACAGTACCGTCCATACTCTCAATTTTAAGTCTAATATATGTAATACTGTATTCTGATGATGACTAATCTACTTTCAAATTGCCTTGCTTGATCATGTGGTGTGTGCTGGCTAACTTCATCACTGATACGATGCAATCCATGCAGAAATATTCTTCGTGAAACGGACTAGACTCAACGCGCTTCAAAGCTCAGAATTGCATGAACGTTGATCTATAATTTCTTTCGAACTAATTAACCTGATTCGCATAGATACACGTATTTCATTTTAAAGCAAATAATCCATAAAAAGTAGCTCAGTCGTTAGAATACTAGTTGCCGCTATGAAAGCAAGAAAGGTCCATTAGCAGTTCACGCGAGCAAGAACGATTTCCTTTCAAATCGTTCTTTATTATGCCTTCGTATCACAGAAAATGAATGCTCGTAGAGCACTCTTCATGCTATACAAAATGGAAACATGATGTATCCCACTTCTTCTATTATCAAGAATCGAATTAAAATCTCAACAACAGCTATTAATAATAACTACAGCCATAAAGAAGCGACAAAGACAACATGGCGATAGACTTGCAGCTGCATAAGTGGAAAATTTCAATGAAAGTTTAGACAATGAATTAAACCGGTCACACCGGGTATGCATGTCACCCCACAAGACGACGTGAGTACATCGAGTGTGACACAAACATGAGTTGCAGGTAGAGTCATCCGCTAGGGCAGTTGGCACGAACCATTGTCTTGCCTAGAGTAGTGATACTGTCATGGTTGACACTAGCATGCAGTCAACTGCATGAACTTTCATAGTGCTGCTACCATTGCTTCGCTTATTCATTTGACCAGGATAGTAAAATGTGAACAGCTAGAATATGAGACTAATATGTAATCTAGTTGCTTTCAAAATAATATTTACCTGTTCAACGAAGGTGATTTCTAATCTTCGAAAGGCAATAACCCTGTGATAAAGCAATTTTTAAATTTAAATTTAATTCAACTGCACACGCTATCTACGTTTCCCTTACCAAATCGACTTTGAAAACTGACAGAGACTGGTTCAAGCGAAGCTCGTAAAGACAGCACTGTACAGTGTACAGTACAGTACAGCACTGTACACTGTACAGTAGGGTACCATATCGATTTTTGCAAGAGCAATGTACTGTACACTGTAGTTACAGTTGCAAGATTTGAAGGTGTACGCGGCCGTATCTGATTGGTTGTTTGATCTTCCAGTGCTGTTGACTGATTGCGTTGACCCTACTACTGTACTGTATAGTACAGTATAGTAGAGGGTCTCTACAGTACAGTAGTGTACAGTATGTACTGTAGCGCCAGTAGCGTTCAGTATGGTACAGTGCACAGTGCACAGTATGCAGTAGACTGTATTTACTACAAAGAGACGAATTGAGAATGGACGCGATATTGAGAGAATGTCAACTAGGTTTTATTCAGATCTTGAATACAAGATCAAGACAGGGAATAAATCAAAAGAATCATAGAGCATTAGCTAGATCCAGAGTGTCCAACAGCAAGAATGTGAATATAAGGATATACTTTACCTTGTATAGTATATCCACTATGGCATATGTCTGTTAGTGTTCATTACAGTATGTTACAGTACCCTTGATGGTACGAAATGACCAAATCTGCCATGACCACTCTATTAATTAATTATATAGAGCAGCTCTTGCGTAATAGAAAGTCAGTTGAGCAGACATTGACTATCACTTTCTTCTCTTAGAAGTATCAGGTACTACAAGACTATGATTATGCAGCTACATTCTATATAGTATTAACGGATTGTGTTTCTGAGTTTTTACTTCGACCTTAGCCACTATACAGCAAAACAAGCGGTAATTTCATTTACATTGGAGGAAAATGTTGACACAGCTATAGTACTGTATACAAACAATCAGCAATGATATCAAAGCAATAAAGCTTCTTGTATACATGTAGATGTGAAATACAAGAAAAGTTATAAATTAATTATTTACAGTGAATAGCCTTAACATGTAAAATTAAGATTAATTCCACATTACTTCACGGGATCCAAATTGGATAAACATGAATGATATACGCGTAAATGACGGCTTAAGCTGTACACATGTAAAATTAAGATTAATTCCACATTACGTCACGGGATCCAAATTGGATAAACATGGATGATATACGCGTAAATGACGGCTTAAGCTGTACTCTACACAGTGCAGTATCCAGTATTTCTCCATTGATTACGGGTGTAATTACATATCTCTTCGAAAATTCTTATTGTTAACATGGCACACAATTATACTGTACATCCTTGATGTCAAATAAAATTGATATCAAACAATATCATGAAATTATTATGATGCTTAAGAGAAAAAATCATATCACATTTTTGTAAGAAGCAAATTACTGTACCGATTTTCTTATTGTGACAATGTTTGTTCTTGCGCTTTTGGGTTATCAATTGTTTTTCCATATCCAAGCTCATAAAGAAGATAACTTAAGGTTAATATTAATAGAATAGGCTGAAATAGGATAATCAACGATGATGATAACAAAAATTGAATCCAACTTTGACATTTTCTGTAAGTAACTAGAACAAGAATAGCTATCACAAGAAACCATAATAGCAAACAAATTATTAATAATACTAGCGTAATAGTGTCATTTGTAAAACTTTCGCCGATGAAAATGAAATTAATATTAAACGAAGAGTGTAAAAACACGATAGCTATAAATGCTGGAGTATATGTCATAAGCAAGCAGATAGCACCACCTAAGAAAGCAATACCAATTGAGGACAATCGACTAATAAATTTGTTCGATTTAAGAATTGGTTTAATGCAAAACCAGATACAGCAGCACCACAGATAATCTTGAAGTATGCTAAAACTACTGACAGGAGTATTAGCGCGAGAGAGATTATTAGCCGGTTGATTAATTACCGATGACATGGAACTTTCTTCTTTAAATTTTCGGATAAAGACTGACCACAACTGATACGTTAACAAAGTGCCGTAAGAAAAGCTGTGGATTCCAATCATATAATAACGAATTGTAACATCGATGGGATTTTCGAATAATCTTTCCTGAGCAATATGGCAATTATTCAGTCGGCGGCATTTAAAACAGCCAAATCCATCATTATTACTTCTAATATTGGCAAAATGGATCATTAATAAAATCTCTGGCATATCCTGTAATACTATTGGCATCGATTTCAGTATTAAACCGATTACAGTAAGGCGTTCCGATCGCATACCACGAAATCGGAATAAGATTAAATATAAATAAAGACATCCAGTTATGCCTATCATGATGGAAAGACTATACAAGACAAGATAAAAGTAAAAACCAGATCGAAAGTAGTGCATTAATTCATTTATATTAAAAACTTCATCGCAATACGTTGAATTACTTAACTGATATGAAAAATCAATAATAGATTTGCTCTGATTAACTAACAAGTTAGTTGCTTCATACTCTTCAGATAATTTAATTAAATTTGATAAATAAAATGTATCTGAAGCTGTATCAAATGCTGATAATATCAACGAATACACAAACGCTATGATATAAAATCTTGAAAGAATATTAAAATCATCCATAATGTGGGCACATGAAGATATAAAATCAGCGTTATCCATCGTAGTGAAGAGAGCTGTCAATGAAGAATCTATCGGAAAAAGATCTCCTATATATTATATTGCAGCAAAATATCGCGAACATCCAATTAGTAAGCAAGAAATTCTTTTGACAAAGCTATCGAAATAGATGCTCCAATTTATCTTCGTATATGGAAGAATTGCTATAAATAGCTTGAACTAAAGTACGTTTACAAAAGCAGTAAATTAACTTATTCTCCATATTATGTCATAGACGGTGATAGACCACTAGAAGTCTTGATTATACTGCATTAAAAGCCTGTAGACATCCAAAATTACCGCTAATGTGTAACTTAAGCTGTTCTACATTTAGATTCATAACAAAAGCATTATTATACTAGTTGAAGCAATGTAGAGTTATATAAATGAAATAAGGACTAAATTGTAATTAATTCGTAAAAGCAACAGTAGCCTAATTCTTGAGCACTATTCATTTTTATTATTTTATTGTAATAAGGTTCAATCAGGATTTGACGGTATAGTTATATTTAATTATGCTGATCCTTTGTGATAGAATAAAATGATCTGTACGGTTGCTATAGCATTTTGGTGATAGGCTACACATATATGGTATGGTCAATATGACTCTGTCCATCGATCTTCTATGCAGTATAATCAATAGTAATTTATAATAATATTACAGGCTCATTATACAGTATAAATCAATCGATAGGGCTTAGAAGTATTCAGAGTGAAAGCAAACATTATATTAACAATAAAGCTTCTAGCAATATCGAGCATTATCGGTTGAAATTCGATATGCATTTTGATTATAAAAATTGATCGATTCGAGCGTTTAGAATGGGTAAATTTAATTAGTAGTTAACACATGCTTATCTTTCTACTGCTTGTAATGTCTTTTAGTACACATTACTATAATTTACGCTGCCAGATTATACACAACTGATTCCTACTTTTAATGCAACAGCTGATGAATTGTAATCCAGTGTGAAATAAACGTAAAAAAGATAATAAAATTTATTATATATTTTTCCATTGTACAGGCAGGTCAATGCTAACACAGCTTAAAATTCAAGAACGGCCAATACGCGCGATTGTTATTTTTTAGATTATTATTTGGTGTTGCATGTTACCAAGATTAAACTTCACTTTATTATTTATCATTTCTAGCATAGCGAATGCCGTGCAGTATATAAAATACTTTCTGATGTATACAACCACTATTTTAAATGATTGATGAAACTTTATACAAAGGAAAATAGGTTTCAATGAATAACGGCTGTCTTTCGAACTGATATCGGAGGAAATGGTAATAATTGCATTAGCATTACCTTCAACATTCAAGACTAACGATATTGCATAATATACTGGCAAATACGTGTCTTTTAATTAATTATAATTTAGCAGTTAACTAATAGCCCTGTAGACTCATAAACAGTTGGCGGACTTTTAATTGAAATAGTGTTTATCTTACGTTTGTGTCAATCGAAGTTTGAATGTGTTAGCGTGCGTGTAGCTCAGTTGAAATTCAAAATATAAAACAGTAGACTATTGTTGGATGTTTCTGCGACGACATATTCTGATTCGTTTCCGTCATATTATAGTTATTTGGATGCAATGATCCGAATTGGCCTTCATCAATAATGACATTTAGACGTTGTACGCATATGCTGATTAAATTTTACTAATGAGTCCATCAAGTTATTCATAAAAGTAATGCCATAGGAGCTATCTTCTTCAGGGATCTTGCTCTCCAATTTGCTTGGGTAACGCTTCATTATCTTTCTGAGCCATCTTTACGTGCAACTTTAATTCAGCTGTCATTCTTACTAAAGTATCGGCATCACTCTCGATCAGTTCTTTAACATATTCAGGTGGTGGTGCTGGTTTCGGATAAGGCAAATCAAGACTTTCCTCATATACTACCTGCTTACCAATTAATTTCTTCTTTTTAAACCAAGATTTAATCGCATCTGCATGTAATAGCTTTTTTGGCACCGGTTTCTGCTTATTTTCTGGAGGTTTGAGTGATGGTAATTTGTTATCAATGAATTCAATAATGGCCATCTTTGCATTATCCTCCTTTCTTGGTGGTGTTCTAACAATACGAGTATAACCGCCTGGTCTGGTGGCATATCTTGCTGCCAAGACGTTAAATAGCTTTGGAACAACAACTTTCTCCTACGAAATGTATTTATTCCAAAGCCAATGTCAATATACCCTTTCATAGTATTTAGTTTTTAAGTCTAAGAAATGAACGTTTCAGCTGTCTGCCTAAAGCCCAAACTATGCGTGCATTACCTGATATAAAAAACTCCATGCAGAGATTTTTGCATCTTTATTCTTTTTTTTTCCTAAGGTAATCATCTGTGCAAACAAGAATATATTTATAAGTATTTATAAATGAAGCCAAAGCTATCGTATTTTACGTTCAATGTTGGGGTATTCAAATTGAATTGAAGATGATTGATCGAAACGTTTGAAGAAAGATGTGCGTTACAGTAGAATATTAGTGACCAATGTGTATGGGAAATAATCAAATTATCTAGACCGAATGCTAGTGTGTCTCGTCCTGTATTTAAGTTACCTTTTCAGCTATAGGCTGTATTGCTTTCGCTTTGGCTAAAGTTGTTTCGATCCTTTCATGACGAATTAGGGCAGCCACTAAGCTACGGAAGAGTTGCTTTCTCTCAGACTTATTTCTGCCTAGTTTAGCTAGTTTTTTACCATGCCTCATGATGCAGAAGGCCACATGTACAGTATCATACGTTTAATGAATCCAAATGTAAAATGATTGACTGAAAAGAATCGATATCCTAAAAGATTTCAGCCACCAGTTTAAAAAACTTTAAATTAATATTGGCAGACTATAGCAGCTGTAAAATCTATCGACAAAGTACAGTAATAACGATTTTTTACCAAGAACTTGGTCTGCAAACTGCTGATGGTTGACTGAGCTCGCTGTCAGTTAGTAAGCCCTGCCAAGATCTCTGCCATGCAAGGATAGTCCAGGAGTCCAATACAGTCGGTGCTCCATACAATCCTATTGATGATTATACTATAGAGACGGTACAGTTTGATTACACTTCAATTCAAATGCTGCTGTTGGCTGTACTGTACCGCACACTTTTTTCCGTTCTAAAGACTGGGTCCAGACCAGACGGGGCCCTGCAAATCTCCAAGTCCGTCCGTACCATGTACAGTGTGTACATTGTACACTACAGTGCACAGACGGTACAGTAATGTACTGTACAGTAGCGCGTGACCAATGACTGCTGACCAGGTGTACGGTACTGTACACTGTACATACAGTAGGTTACAGGTCAGTGCAGTACAGTACTACTAAATTTACAGTACTGTACTGTACTTACAGTACAGTACTGTACACAGTGTACATCTACTGTACTGTACACTGTACTGTACAGTGTACAGTGTACAGTACAGTTGACAGCACCACGGCGAAGCGAGTGATGCGACGCTGAACAATACTGTATCGTACATCTACACTTGCGCAGTACATACTGTACTCACCACAGTGGTGACCTACTGACAGTGACTCAATCCCTCGAAATTGACGATTGCGCAAAACGAAAAGATTTTGCGCACAGTTACAGTACAATGTACAGTAGAGTATTACAGTATACTGTACTGTAGACCGCGGAACCCCGGGGTTCCAGTGGTCCTTGACTGAAGCTAAAAGCTTTCGCCTGTGACTTACAGCAGACACAGTCGGCATACCCAATCACAATAAGAAATTCTCGAAATATGGCGCTCTGCCTAGATTGCAAGACAACACTTTGAGATTTTCTGACTTGTAAAGATTTTATGCCGGTCGCCAAACTCTGACCATCCACATGATACGGTGATAGATCACTAGGTAAGGCAATGCAAAACATAGTTCTTTAATTTTAGATTGAAAGTTGTTTCTACTAGCTGTTGTACAGGATAACAACTTGTGTTGACGACATAAGCCACTTGACCATTGACATGATCGAATCGATCTTCCCCTGCTTATGGGTGAACAAGAGTCTAGCCATCATTTCGTGTTTCGTTGTTAGTGACTACACTGTGCTGTATTTTTTTGCCTTAGTACTTTCACTGACTACCAGGATGCATCAGCTTACTTCACAATTATGATTACAGCCAGAATCTAAATCGTAGTAACGTTAGTACAGAAACCCTAAAGGTGCCTCGTATACACAGTACATTGACTTCTTTACTCTCAAGTTAAAGGGCAAAGGAAATCATTTTTGATACTGCCATACTGACAATTGTTAGTCTCTTGCATTTCCTAATCATACAGGCTCTTCTGTCCATGACTTTTAAGCGTTCTGTTGTTGTATAAATTTGAAGTCAGGTGTTATTTATTCGGAGTACTTTATCATTCCCGTACTGTAGTAGAGTACATTAGTTCTGGTGTAGTTGCTGCTGGGCTTCAAGGGCTACGCAGGTGAAGGACAAATTTCCACTGCATCTAGGCTAACTATTTGATGAAAAAACATTAACTTATAGCTTTGAATTATCATAACTATTGAACTATTCCATTAAATTATTCCAACTGGTGATGCCTTAACGTGTTCGCAGTCGATTGTTAGCAAAGCTAAAACTTCTCCTTGCGACGTGTCGCCATAGTCCGTTATTATGATTTATTATTATTATTATTTATATTTTATTTTTTTGATATGACTGTTCGCTGTCATTGCAATCCGATACTGTACAGTACAGTGTACAGTACTACAGTGTAGTCAGAATGAAAATGATGCAGTCAGCGTACAGTACAGTACAGTAGACATCGCGAATAGGTAATAAAAGTTGCCACCTGCTGTTGTAGGACGCAGGAAACTAGGTCATAATCTTATTTTTAGGGCGGTCTTGTAAACAAACTGCTCACACAGCGTATATGTCATATATACTGTAGCATAGATAAATACACTACCAAATCCATAACAATTGAGGTAGACTTTATTTCTGCCATAAACCACGTAAAATGTTTTACAGGGCGGCGGCTTTTAGGACAGGTTTTAGGGTGGTCTTTTAAACAAACAAACTGCTGACATAGCGTATATAGCAAAGACAGATATACAGTACTACGAAATCCACAATAATTGATGCTACAATGGAGGCAGACTTTGTTTCTGCCATAGATCATATCATTTTTACAAACGGCCTCGAGTTTATTGCCCAAGCGCCATCATCTTGAAGGCAATATCCTGGATCACTTTTACTTGATTTACACCTGTCGATGTCTGTTAAAATTACAGTATTGTACTGTAGCCCTTGACTACCGTCATTAGAACGGTACGTTACCAGTACTGAACAGTACAGTACAGTACTGGGGTTGATTCCGCTGTACTGTACACTGTACACTGTACAGTCTAATAACTAAGGAGTAGACCGTTAGCACTTAGCAGCATCAGAAACATACTCAGCTGCTGCCGTAGCCAGGGAAGCAGGCACTAATAAAAACTCGCTGCTTTAGCGATGAAGGCTGAATTGGCGTAAATGGCAAAGAAAGAGAACAGGCTGTTTAACCTATTTTTATTGCTAAGAAGACTGTAATTTGGTAAATTATTGTCGTTCCGCTTTAATGGAGCAGTTAATTGACTCGATTATAAGAAAATTCTGACTGTACTGTTATCCAAATGTCAGCAAATTATATATCTGAAGTCTAGCGATTAGTAGAAATTAAAAATTTACTGTATTTTCCATTTCATGAACTAAGTTACGAGTTTCAGTGTGCCAGTATGATCATCTGTAAACAGTACGTGTAATACGACATAATGCCTTGGCAGCAATTGAAGCGATAAGAAATCCTAACTGCTTTTTTAGCTGTTAATTATCTACGCTTTCAGAAAGTACTGTACTACATCACATATTTGATATACCGCAAGGAAGTGTAACAATTGTACCATTTGTTAGAGTGTAAATGTAGTTTACTGCATAAAATCCTAGCTGGCCTTGCTTGTATTGTATACTTGAATATAGTGTACACTTTTTCAAAGTGGTGATATAGATCTTCTGGAAACTCACCATAATTTAAGTACCGCATGTACACTGTGCTCTTAAGCATCGCATTGAGAAAATACTATTACTGAATATTTATAACAGTTAAAAATAAACATTAGTTATAAAAAAAAAACAGAACAACAATCAGGAGCATCGTATAAACTGCTGGAATTTGCCGATAGACTACTGTAGAAGCTTATGGAGGTAGCTTACAGTTGCAGGAGCAACTAGCACAAAAAGTGCGCAATTATTTACTGTATACCCAACGTTGCAGCTTAAATTTTACGAGTTGCTCACTTTTAGGATATTGCACTATTGCTCTGATTCGAACTAGTACTCCTCAAAATAGAAGAATTTCAAGAGACTTTTTATCCAAGAGAAGTGTTCCCTGATTTAATTATTATATTATTTATACAGATGACGCTTAATTTAATATCTCAGAACGGTAGAAGTGAGTATACTGTAAATGGCGGGTTTTAGCGTACACTGTAAGGTCTAAAGGTGCATGTACAGTATATGAATTTTAATAATTGATGTTTATCTTTTCGCTCATTATGTGAATTGTAAAAATATACAGATAATGTATTATTCATGCACTAGTCTATAGTACTGCCATATTGTTTAATTTACAGTATTGCAGTTGCATATTGTACGTTACCTTTGAAACTTGAAGGAAGTAGTTTTAGCTTGAACTATGCCGTATATTATAACTATTCATGATCGTATGTGATAAATCATTTCTTGTACCATAGATGAAATAGAGTCAATACATTATATGCGTACATTACTATATTTTTGTTTATACTAAATTTACATCCTTCATTCTTTAGGTTAGGTAGTCTATAAATTCTTGATTCGAGTATTAAAGTTAGTCAACCAGTAGATACTGTAGCATACGTGGCAATATCGATCTTGTTGGGTCAAAGAGGAGTTAACCATGAACGACTGTAATACAAATTGAGTTATCGATGGGTTAAGATATCAGTATCGAATTAAAAATTGCTATATCGAAATTATTATCGCTGTGCCTGGTAATTGGATGATTGGATAGTCCTAACCTAGTCGAAATCATTCATTATGAGCACCAACAAGATATCAGGTAAGATAGAAATTGATATTTTATTCTCCTATACCGTGATAACTGTAATAGATGATGAAAATAGGTATTGGTTGTATAGATGATACTTATATGAAAGATATTCAATGTTCTATGATAAGCTGTATTAGTATTTTGCTTGTTATGCTGATCCCTTATCTCTATAACTTACATCAAATATTTATACGATTTCTTATTGAATTGGACACATGGAGTTGAATTTATATTAATGAGACGTGTAGGCGTCTATAGAATTACCTTTGATATCGATCATAAGCTTACAGTGTTAGATAACTTATACTGTTCATGTATCAAACTTAGATACAGTTATCAATGGTAGTAAACATCAGAGGATTTATTCAGTTTCGGCTGAACCATACCGTGGTAGCCGCCAACCGATTCCTCCACCTATGCCTAAAAGTCGTCGTCGTTTGAGTGATGATAGCAATGTGGATCTCCGATCGGGAAATCGAAGTCTTCCCATTGCTTCAAATTACTCTGGACAGACCATTTATCATACGTATGTTATCAGTTGGTTATCTTGTCGGTTTTGTAATTGATGTATTAATTAACTAATGATATGAACGTATCGTTATTACCGTATCATGACAGATACATAAGCACTAAAAACGAAAAGATGATTAGAGATAAAATACAGTCTAATCGACTTCGAGCAAGTTCCGTCAATTCCTCTACTCCTTTGAAAGCTATACCCATTAAAGGCAAAATATCGAAGGAAAATAACAAAGCTATCATAACCCAAATTACTGATTTGAAGCGTAATTCTCCGGCTACGTCAAATAGCAACTTGGACAAAAGGCGCTCTCGGTCTCATACTGATATCAATACCCTAACTCCTGCTCTTGCTGGAGGTAGCAGCAGCCTTCGTATTGCTACGACAGATAATCATCATGGGATTGAAAATGGCGTCAGTGTGGATCCGATAAAGAATGGTGGCGCCTTGAAGGAAGTCTCGAGCTCAATACGATCATCTACGCCTTCGTTAGTTCAAACCAACGAAAAGGACGAAAATCGTAACAAGAAGACTAATAATCTGTCAGGCATTTTCTCTCGTAGATCATCAGAGAGGAATAGCTTCTCGTTAAAGGAGAGGTAAGTTACATAAAGAAAGAATAATATTGGTAATTTATTCGGTCACTGGCCGTAAATAACTTCTAATATGCCTACTACATTAGATTATTTAACAGGAAAATATCTGCATCCACTGGAGATATCGATAAAGGTTTACCTCCAGCAAAAGAAGTGAAACCTGATAAAGGCAATATTAAATTGAAAGTACGACGCATTCCTCATTATATTTAATACCATTGTTATTATCATTGCCGAATAATCATGTTAATTAATGGTGATTTTATAGCCATTTAGAGGAAATATTGCAGGAAGTAATGCCGGTGTTGTAGGATTAAAGAATTTAGGGAACACGGTTAGTATCTCAAATATTTACTAGTTTACTATTTCATTATGGCCCGTTAGTAAAAGATTTCATTGATTATCTTCTCTCGATAGTGCTTCATGAACTCTATCCTACAGTGCCTAAGCAACACGAAAGCTTTGACCTCGTTTGTTCTCGATAATTCATATTCACGATTTATAAGTGGAAAGAGTTCAATGCATGGGAAACTAATGGAAGGTATACAGATTTTGTTTATGTAGTAAATGTTCAGCTGCATTCTATTTCCTAGTTGGCCTCCAATGTTCCGTCCTGATAGCGATTGGATAGGACAACAGCTGTTGTACATTATTGCTAAAGTTTCTATCGATTTTATGATTTATAGCATATGCTTCTCTAATGAGATCAATGTGGAAATCTGATACCAAAGAAACTGCTTTATCGCCTGCAACATTTAAATCACAAATTCAGCGTTTTGCCCCAAGATTCGTTGGCTACAGGTTAGTATAGCGGCACGGTTGTTTGGCATTGATAATGAAGAACCTGTCTATATAGTGCTAACCATTAATCTTCTTTGATTAATGTTATAGTCAACAGGATGCACAGGAGTTCCTTCGCTTTCTTTTAGCGGGATTGCATGAGGATTTACTTCATAATAGTCGAGAGAAGCCTAAAATTATTAGTACCGAAGAATATGATGAATTACAGTAAGTAACTACGCGTGTGTATAGGTACACTCATATACATGATTATTAAAGAAATTTTGATATATTAATATATTTAATGGAAGCTTTGTAATAACAGTAAACAATATAATTCAACTTTATAGGCCCGAAGATAAAGCCGTATACTGTTGGAAGCTATATAAGAGTACCGATGATAGTAAAGTTGCAGGTATGTACCCCATCTTCATGTAATTGTGTAGTTATTTATTCTATTGATGATCAAAGTTATACTAGTATTAAATTCTAATGATAGCACGAATCAATAGAACTTTTTGTAGGTCAGTTGAAAAGCACACTGGAATGTACGGTTTGCAAAAATCAATCTGTAACCTTTGATCCGTTTTGGGATCTATCTCTGCCTATTCCAAAGGTATGATAAATGATTATATTTAACTTAATATTGATATGAAGAGAATATCCTTGATCAATTCTTAATCGTATATTGTAATCTTTTAGACTTCAGATACAGGCATTGGTGTGAATAAGATTTCGACCATAACACTACTTGATTGTTTGAAGTTATTCACTCGCGAAGAGACGTTATCGGGGGATAATATGCCGGTAAATTAATTCACATCAAAAAACGAAGCATGCCGTGCCTTGAAAACAGTTCTCTTACGGTGTCATTTATCTTGCAATAATAGACTTGTTCGAAATGTAAAACGAAAACTGTCTGTACTAAAAAGTTATCCGTGCAGAAATTTCCTCAAATCCTGGTTATACGTATCCTACGGATGTTTAAGTTAATTCCAGTTTTCAATGTGCAATGGCATTTCAGTAGATTTGTCAGTGATTCATTCGTCTCTCAATTTGTCTATTAAGCCTTTACTATTATATAAAACCAGATTTTAAGCGATTCTCTGGGATTCATTATCGTACAAAGCTGAATACCTTAATAGATTTTCCTATTGATAAATTGGATTTGTTGAACTTTGCTGGTACTACTTCTAGTATGTGATATGAATCAATTCTTTCTTATTAACATAACATACTTCTAGGTGTAAAGTTACTATAAAAGAGTCATACATAGTTATTTAGCTAGACTACAATTAAATAATTCTTACCACCATTGATGATATAGCAATATCATGCAAGTACAACCTGTACGCCATATCTAACCATTCGGGTAGTACTGTGGGAGGACATTATACCGCTTATTGTAAAAGTCCTCATACACAAACATGGTATATGTTTAATGATACCAGGTTAGTTGATGCAGAAATTGGTTTTGCTTGATTTTTAAAAGCGATCTAATACCGATCTATTTTTGATATGGATATACATAATTATTAATGAATTGGTAAATAAGTAAGTTGATTGAACGAGTACTAACTGTGTTACTGTTGATTTTAGGGTACAACCAGTGTCAAGTAACGAAGTAAAAAGTTCGCAAGCTTACGTCTTATTTTATGAGCAACAGTTAACCCAATCGATTCTTTGAGTTCCATTTTAGGCTATTGTTAGGATATTGGCAATTAATCCAAGCAGTTAGGTACAAGACGAATTTTATCTATCTCATTGCAGTAGTTTCCTTATGTGTATACTGGCGTTAATTCGCAAATTTATTCTTATTCAATGATTTTAATTCTAAAGATAATTATAACAATATCGAAATCAGTATTGTTTTGATATTGGTAACGCGAAAATATTATGGTATTAGCTTGTAAATTAATTTATTAAATTTCATTTTAGTGTATGCTTTTGCTACGCGAAAATGTATGATAGTAACGCAGTGCAGATTGGCAAAGCAGATTTTACTTATATCGTATAGACACTGTGTAGTGCAGTGTATTTATAGTACTTGTGAATGTTATTCACTTCTTAATGTAAGATTATGTTCGGATGCACCGCGAGGTACTTTGGCTTCTGTGCGGATTAACGATGGAATTATAAATGGTTGCAAAATTGCTATGCAGTATATTTTGCATTCCATGTAGTATGCTGTTATAATATCCATATATATATATATATACTCGTGTATGTACGAAAAATTAATAACGCTTAGGATATCTTGATTAAAGTAAATAGGTATATTAGGAAATAATTACATTTTAACATTGTAACCGGAAAAATTTTAACTGAAAATAATTTTGGATGCATAGTATCATTTTATGCCTGCTTAGGTCATATAGCTGGCAGTATGCGCTTATTTACTTTATACGCATTAAAGGAAAAATTACAACGAAGAAGTGATTTTAATGCCTAGAGGATAACATTTTTTTGTACGGATATTTTTTGATGAGTACTACTGTAGTGGATAATCGAGGTGAAGATTGTAAGCTATGATAACTGCGATTTACTCGTATAGAATGCAGTATTGATGCTCGTAGTGCGTGTATTACTTATGAACAATAAAAGTGATCTGATTCACGTACTGTACGTATGTTCGCGCATGCAATTCAGATCAGTACGACTACAGTACATGCTTAAACTATGTATCTCGATGGAGGAGGTATTTCACGTCCTCTACTCGTAGGCTATTTATTATGCACGTCTATTCTATTTTAACCTTAAGGAAGGACTCTATCCTAGTGCGAAGTCACTACGAAAGTAGAATTGTCGATGGCTACGTTTTTGGATGATGATAGCGTAAACAAATGCAATTACTGGCAGCGTAATACGCTTTTTTTTAACAGTTCTACGTACAGTATGTTGTATTGAATAATCATCTATCCGGACAGTACCTTCAGCAAGTTAATGTACAGTAATTGATGACGATCTACTTGATTATCACAGATACAGTCAATACATAGTGATGGCGTCGTACATACACTAAAACAGTGACTAATAGGAGAGTTGAAAGCAAGTAGCATTTTATTTCTGTTAGCGATGTGAGCTTTACTAAAGAGATATCTGCACTAAGAAAGTTATGACGTTCCTATATTGACGGCTGTTCCAGTTTTGTGCAGTAGCGTGCAATCATAGGTATACAGTACATCAGTTTTGCGAGGTTCTTGGAAGAAAGCGCTCATTCGCCTTTTTTCTAAAAATATAAAAACTATTTATCCTACAAATCAGAAAGTACTGTACTGTAAGCAAGTACGCGAAGAATCATGAGCTAGGTGTTTGACTATTCAATATAACTGAGGATTTGCTGCTGTACTAATGCCATACTGTACCATTGATTGCTAGCCATTTGCTTATGCTTTACTGACAACACCCAAGTGTATGTCGGCAACGCTCCACTTTACTACAACTTTATTGATCAGTTCAGCGTGAACGTATCCCTTCCAACTGATAGCTGTACACTGTACAGCAGGCTTTTCAATTCTAATTATCAGCGATAGTCCCTGATTTAGCATAGATTTTCTATTATCGTTCTTGCATGCTTGGCGTTGCCAAGGAATTCCAGTGAGCCGATGTACTGTAGTAACTGTACCCCTGTTGAAGTTCATTTAATGCTGTTACAGTTTGCAAACTGGCATTGATTGTGACCAGATCTGTCCATCTCTCCTTCTATTGCAATGTAGAAGTTCATTAATTGCTGTTGCAGTTTGCAAACTGGCTTTGATTCTGACCAGATTCGTCCATCTCTCCTTCTATTGCAATGTGAGTGGATACTGAATTACTGATACTGTATCCCTGTAGAAGTTGCAGTTTGCAAACTGGCTTTGATTCTGACCTGATCCGTCCATCACTCCTTCTATTGCAATGTGGGTCGATACTGAATTACTGATACTGTATCCATGTAGAAGTTGCAGTTTGCAAACTAGCTTTGATTCTCTTGTACCCCTGTAGAAGTTCATTGATGCGGTTGCAGTTTGCAAACTGGCTTTGATTCTCTTGTACCCCTGTAGAAGTTCATTGATGCGGTTGCAGTTTGCAAACTGGCTTTGATTCTCTTGTACCCCTGTAGAAGTTCATTGATGCGGTTGCAGTTTGCAAACTGGCTTTGATTCTCTTGTACCCCTGTAGAAGTTCATTGATGCTGTTGCAGTTTGCAAACTGGCTTTGATTCTCTTGTACCCCTGTAGAAGTTCATTGATGCTGTTGCAGTTTGCAAACTGGCTTTGATTCTCTTGTACCCCTGTAGAAGTTCATTGATGCTGTTGCAGTTTGCAAACTGGCTTTGATTCTCTTGTACCCCTGTAGAAGTTCATTGATACTGTTGCAGTTTGCAAACTGGCTTTGATTCTCTTGTACCCCTGTAGAAGTTCATTGATACTGTTGCAGTTTGCAAACTGGCTTTGATTCTCTTGTACCCCTGTAGAAGTTCATGAATGCTGTTGCAGTTTGCAAACTGGCTTTGATTCTCTTGTACCCCTGTAGAAGTTCATTGATGCTGTTGCAGTTTGCAAACTGGCTTTGATTCTCTTGTACCCCTGTAGAAGTTCATTGATACTGTTGCAGTTTGCAAACTGGCTTTGATTCTCTTGTACCCCTGTAGAAGTTCATTGATACTGTTGCAGTTTGCAAACTGGCTTTGATTCTCCTGTACCCCTGTAGAAGTTCATGAATGCTGTTGCAGTTTGCAAACTGGCTTTGATTCTCCTGTACCCCTGTAGAATTTCATGAATGCTGTTGCAGTTTGCAAACTGGCTTTGATTCTCCTGTACCCCTGTAGAATTTCATGAATGCTGTTGCAGTTTGCAAACTGGCGTTGATTGTGACCAGATCCGTCCGTCTCCCCTTCTATTGCCATCGTAAGCCTACAGTACAGTGTACAGTACTGTAGGCTTTTCAAACTGTACACTCTGCACTGTGGAGGCTAGAGTGTACAGTATGGCACCGTCCTACAGTACAGTATACTCAGTACAGGCTGGACTCAGCCAGCACTACTGTACTGCCACGACGTCAGTGGCTGGAGAAAAAGAGAGCACGGTTAACTTTTTCTCCAAAATGGCGGCCGATGTGAATATTTTGGTCTCTTTCAAGTATTGCGGCCACTCGCACTTATTTAATGATCGACTGATTGATGTCAATAAACCAGTCAAGATTGGTCGATCGACTTATCGAGTTAAACCGACTGACAATAACTTGATATTTACGTGTAAAGTTTTGTCACGCAATCACGCAATCTTGTGGTACGAAGATAACAAGGTATGGACAGGCAGTGGAGTAAAATGAGACTTGTTTTTTTTTCATGCCATGCCAATGGTAGACTTTGATTTCAAAATACAATACCTTGTACTTGTCTACGTCTAGCAGAATACTCATTCTTAGCCAAGATCAACATGACATTCAATGATTCAAGTTGTCATTTCAACATGATTTTTTCCGCCTTGTCAGCCCTGGCACCATACTATACACTAGCATGCATTGCAACTAGGGCAAACGATCTCTGCCACTGGCATGAGTCCAATCCAATCGTTTTTAGCCTTTTCTTAGTGGATTTTTTGTCTTTCCTACCATGCTGATTCTAATCTAGTCTCTTTGACTTATTGACGCTAGAGAATTGCTAATGGGGTAACTTTCCAAATGATATTGATTCATGGCAAAGTTCAGATTTTACTTTCTATTGCATTGACGACAGTACCATGGCCAAAATGTCATTTGTAGACTACCAACACTATTCTTGACCGATGAACTCGCATCCATCGATGCGATGGCTGCGTTATCATCGTGGACTGAAAAATAGTATCATCTCTCTACATCAACTGTTGATAGGAAATGACTAGGCGATAAGTAATAGTTCATGTTTACAACATATGCATGAAAATCTACTACACTATTAGGTTACATTCGACGAGAAATGATACGACCGCACTCCCATCTTTCAATGATCTCTAGTCACTCTCTGCTGCAAGGGATAGGCGCCAATCCCCACAGAGTTGGCTCAATCCGCTTATTTCTCACTTCAAGTCAATACTATTATTGTTCCATCACTTCCATTGCTTTACCAGGCACTGACTGTAGCATATAGTATGTTGAAGAAACTTTTGAGATAGTCCTATTCCCTTTGAGATGCTGTCAAATAAATATATCTTGAACATCCGTTACTCTGCAAAGGCTGTAGTCCTTGCATTCCTATTCAGTACTGTTTAGTTGACTGCTGGCCTGGTCATCTCCTCGACAGAGTCACAGCCATCAATTTTACTGCGAGATATTCAAGTTTGCACATTAGCGAGTTATTAATGCTATTCTGCAAATGCAGTACACCATGGACTCCAATAGTTGACTGCTGCCCTTCTAATGTCTTCGACAAAGTGGTTTGATAGATTGACTGCTTGATATTGACGTTTGCATATTAGCGATTAAATCGCTAATATGCAGATTTTACTGCTAGATATTGTAGTTTGCACGTCGGTAGTGGTCTGATCTCTTGAACAGAGTCATTTGACAGATTTGACGACTAGATATTGAAGTTTGCACGTCGGTAGTGATCTGATCTCTTGAACAGAGTCATTTGACAGATTTGACTGCTAGGTATTGAAGTTTACACGTTAGTGGTCGACAGATTTAACTGCTAGATATTAAAGTTTACTCGTTAGTGGTCTGATCTCTTGGACAAAGTTATTTGACACATTTTACTGCTAGGTATTGAAGTTTACACGTTTGTGGTCTGATCTCTGGACAAAGTCATTTGACAGATGTTACTGCTAGATATTGAAGTTTACACGTCAGTAGTGGTCTGATCTCTTGGACAGATTGTTACTGCTAGATATCAAAGTTTACACGTTAGTGGTCTGAACTCTTGGACAGAGTCATTGGACAAATTTTACTGCTGGATATCATGTTTGCACATGAGCGAGTTAATGCAATAAGGATACGGAAAGTATCGCTTGTTCATAGACGGACTGCATTGCTCGTGGACCTTAGCCGAAACTACCCTGATGAATAGTACTCGTGTCATCAATTTTCAGAGTATCAAGCAGTCGATGATGCTACTGGATGAGTCATTATCCCGTGCCTAGACGTAAGACGTTAAACTTGCCAAAATGACTTGGCGGAGTGTTGTTCTTATTCAACGCTCAAAGATCATGCTTAGAATGACGTTAAACTATCGAATGCAGTGTTAATCATGTTCAAAACTGATTTAAAAGCCTTGATGCTTAAAAAATTTCTTCAGGATCCACCCGCTAAGTGAGAAGCTGAACACAGTTACTCATATGCGTACACCTCTAGTAAAATTGTGTAAAACTTCACGGCATAATTACGCTGGTTTTTTGACTTTCGACGTGCGTACATATGTGATTCTATTGCTATTAGAGGTCATTTTTACTTCTATACGCGCAATTCTTTACTTCTTCATGGGTACGTGTCAAATGTTCATCTTGGATGATATATGTACTGTTGAATTAAGCTATATCGCAAAGGCATTGATGTTCTAATGCCTTGCGCTTTCTTGATATAATATGCTGTATATCGCAAGTGTTGGAAGGGAGAGAATCATAAGATAGATACTGACCGTACTGCGCCAAAATGAACAGCGCAAGTATTGAATAAAATAAAAGTCATTTAGTTAAAGATATGGTATACTATAGACGAAGTAATTGAATGTATCTAAAACTTGTATTTCTTGTAGTTAATCATGATGGCCTAAATTGCTATTGCTTAAGTATTGAATCAACTATTCTAGCTACTGACTCATAATTGATTCTCATTTCTTACAGCTATGGTTAAAGGACACAAATAGTAGTAATGGTACGTTTGTCAATAATGCTCGAATTGTAACCGATGTCGAAGCTAAGGAACTGCATAATGGCGATCTACTACAATTTGGTATTGATGTTGTCGATGCTGATAAAAATGGTACTGCTATTGGACTATTATTAAATATAATTAATTATTGTCAATTGCTGAGTTATCCTCCAATTAGTCAGATATTTACGTTCCATCATAGTGCTATAAAGCTTAACATAAGCGTCCAAGACATCAATAATTATGTCATTAAATATCACCTTATTATTATGTAATAAAAATCAGGTCTAGAACTATGCTATTAACGTCTTTATCTACTACCAATGCTGGTAACGTAGAAAGTACTGATTTTTTGTTTCTGCCTTTCTAGTAAATCATAATTGCATTATCGGAAGTCTGGAATGGCCGATCGAAACTGATATTCCTAGAGAGAGGTAGGTTGATTACTTATTATTTTACTATTATTTCTGAACTTGATTGATAACACGACGTTGCACCAACAGGAGTTTCTTGTTCTAATGTATGAAAATAACTCCTGAGATACAGTAGCAATATTGTAACTTCATTAGTTTCATCATATTTAGATAATGACTTCTATTCTTATGTAAGATCCAGCCTATTATGATGATGTCTCCTTACAAAAATGAAAGTCAAGTTAATTGCTTATCTCAGTGACTATGCCTTAGTATACACAGTATCATTGGGCTAGACCATTAATTAGATGTTGTACAAATGACTATTAATTTACTGAGAGTTCTTCAGCCAATATTGCAGCAAATTACTGACCTCGCTCCTACTTAACGTAATATAAATGAGCTTAAAGCATATACAGTATATAGTCATGAACAAACAAATTGATGGAGATTCGCCTCCATGTCACTGTAACAGTTAATTTCTGATATATTAAAATAGCTACCTAGCAAAATTGTTGTTTACTGTAAATGTTTAGAATGACAGTTTAGTGTTAAACTTTAATCTTTTTATTATTATTATTATTATTGTTATCGTTTTTTATGTACAGTATACCTTACTAATGAATTAATGATTGATCATATTCCTAGGATGCCTACACCTGATAAAATACTAGATGTTGTAACGCCTCCCGTTCGTATTGTTCAACATGTGAGCAACAATCGATGATAACTTTCACTTGATCCACGACTTCCGTGCATTTATCAGATACTAATCTTATTTTACTTTCCTACAACCAATGGGTAACATTTACAATTTTAGGATAAAATAGAAATTAGTAAAAAGGAATTAGTTCAACTGTCTAAATACATGAAGGTACGTATAAGGAGTCCCCTTAATTTAAATTTTGCTAATTTAATTTTGTTCAATCTTTCATTGTTACAGGAAGCTGTCCAACGTGAAAAAAGCTTAAAAATGAAATTAACTAGTGTTGTGGAAGCTCTAGTGGCTGTTCAGCAGTGCCAGAAAATTAATTTACAGGTATTTTCACCTAAGGCGGTCTACCACATGCATGGTAATGTCTATCAGTAATATAGTCAACTTTTTTGGTATAGGGTTCTATTAAAGAAGATTATCTTTTGGCGCGAATTGATACTTTAGAGTCTGAATTAGAAATATTTTCTAAGGTATTTACAATGTATTAGAGCTAATTATGACTTAGTTAAATAATCTATTGATCATTGTGTTTTGAACTAAATATTGATGATAACTTAATATTGTCTAGAATGGCAACAAAGATACCTTTAGCGAGCAATTGATTGATAGTCAAGAGGCAAAGTATCGATGCGAACTACAATTAAAGGTAGAGCTTACAGTACACTACACGTATCAATTCGAAAAATTTAACCAATTATGATTAGTACTCGTTAAGTGATCATATTGTGATTAATTTTCTTGGTACGGTAGCTGAATTCAGTAGTTTTGTAGCTTTCCAGCGGCTACAACACTTCTATATAAAAATAGATTATGGAATATGCCTTCTTTTATAATTTTACATAGGACTCATTACAAAATAATTTAATGGAAAAGTTAAATGCAAATAAAGTATTCGCTGAAATGCAGGTTAGTATTTTTTACTTTTTTCGTTATAAAATACAATGTGTTACTGCTTAAATTCCCGATTTCAGTACGAAGTATAACCTATAGATTTGGTAATTAGATTTGTATTTACTTTTCTCTAGCTTGAAGATGCTAATAAGAACTTAGGTAACGAATTAAAAACTGTCAAGAACGATAATGATGAATTAATTGGAAAGGTATTTACTTCTTTATGGATAGTTATGCTTATTATCTTCATCAGAGGTCAAACCATTTTGTAAACCACTAGGTTGATGGATTAAACACAAAATGTGAAGAAATGGATCAAATGTTAAAGGTTGCAAAAGGTTAATATGTATTTTGCTACTTAACAACTCACATATGTTGCACATGAAGTATTTTTATTTACAAATAATACTCTGTTATCGATACTACTGTCACTATTGTTTTTAGCTAAAATTAATGAACGTGAAGAATTGTTAGCAAATTATCGAATAAAATTAAATTTTACCGATGCAATTTCAAATATAGCCTCAACAGGTACTTACTAATAATAGGCTAACAGTTACCATATGCTGATTAAAATTGTATTAAAATTTTTTAATTTAATTTAATTTAAAGACATTCGAAACGTTTCTACAAATGCGATGGAAATAATTACGCGCTTAATAGAAAAGTTACAAGGTTTCTTGAGTTTCGATTATGTAAATTTTTGTATCTCTGAATAGAAATACATTATCGTTATCCATTTCGAACGATATCAACATGAGTTTTTATTTAATTTTTTACAGAAATGGATCTGGATGTTTTTAATTATCTCAAGTCTATAGGTTTATTGAAATCTAATTAAAAAGAAGTTATAACTAAATTTGTTTCTGGAGCTATTGATAACTAATAAATTTATTTGATGGACAATTTCTCATTTACAGTGGATAGCATTCCTGATACAGCTATTAATCACGTCGAGGCGCAAGCTGTCATAGGTGTTGTTGTCATCTAATCATAGAGCAAAATGGATGAACGACTTGTTTTTATATTTTAATGCAATGTAACACCTGGTTGATTACATAATTTTTAGACAATAAAGATCTAACAGAAGAAAAAAATCGGCTTCAGGAGCAAATTAATAGGTAAGGAAAAGAATTGACAGTTTACATTATACTGATTGTTAATATTGGTATAGTTTAAAATTTAACCTTTAAAATGTGCTGTAGATTATTAAGCGAAGAAGAAGCAAGTAAAATTTTTGTCAATGAATTGCAAAGCAAGTATCAATCAGTTACTGCTGAACTGTTTTCGAAAGAAAAGGAGATAGATTTGCTAAAGGTGAAATCTTTGTGACCGTTGTATGCTGCATCCTCTATCGTAATGAAAGATTAGTAATTTTTCAAGTTATAATTTCTAATTACAATTTCTTGCATAAAAGACTGCGCACGATTCAAAGTTGCGAACATTACAAGACGAATTAGACGCAAATAAAGATGAGGTGTGTATAAAATTGAAACGTACTATACTTAAACCAGATGATTATTGTCCCGATATATTTTTTACAATTACGAACTAATCTGGTTGTATTGGCAAAAAATCGATGACAGCATACCAAGACTATGGAGACTATTAAAACTCTACAAAAGTCACTTGAAGAGCGGACCTTATTTGAAAGTCAATTACAAGAAGAAAATAAAAACCTTAGAAACCGACTTGATCAGGCAAGTTCAAAAATTGAATGAAAAAATGTGATTATTTCTTTAATCGTTTCCGTTAAATTACTTACTATTTATTGTAGTCTCTAATAATAGATAACTATGCGATGCACTATTAGCATTAATCCTGTCAAGTTAAAGATACAATTATTGCTTATATTTATAGGGAATGCAAATCGGAACACTGAAATTTTCTGTTTACTTTATCGTTATCGCTGTAGCGTTTTTCTTCGTAATTAATTGCTTTTCTCCTAGAAGTACTTGAGTACTTATAACTACGTAATACTCGCAATATGGGCACATTAACGGAAATTGTAACTGATAAATGGTCTTGCTTACTTGATGTGCAAAGATATACAAACATTAATTTTACCGTTGTATCCAGGAAGTAAGGCAGTGTACGTGGTTTTTGTTAAATGTAAATATGGGCTGTTCAGTGCAAGATGATCCTAATAATACCTGCTTTATATGGCACAATTATTTGGTGATCTTGTAAATATTTTTGCGGATTATCTATGTGTAACACTGTATGTTTATATATTGCTAACCCTGAGTACTTTATATGGCAGTTCGATTAATGCGCTATTATACTTTATGTAGTTCTCAAATTCGAATTGAAACTTTTCATAATGTTTGTAGCAAATTAATCAAATCCTTGTGTAATTCTATAATAGCACTCTACTTGTTTCTCGTAAGTAATAGGAATACTTACCAAAAGGTTTATTACATTTTTCTCCTATAGATTGTCATGCGGTCATCTAAGATTGCATTTCGTCTAGTGATTACATTTATGACAAAAATTTTATAATGTCATTTGATCTGACAGGTTGACGGAAATATAGCATTGTCTATCTTTTCTACCACTTGGTTAGCTTTGCGACGCCAACGAAAATAACATATAAGTAAATTTTAGTTGTTGCTGCGATGGCTGTCTCGTTATGTATGTTTTAGGAATAAAGGATTTAAGACATTCTTGTATTTGTTGTTAAGCCATTAACCAACAACTGTATACTTTGATACGCTCAGCAATCAATCAGATTGCAAGTTTTACGTATTAGATAACAGCTGGTATAAATTTGTTAACTATGGACGACTTTACATAAGGATCTGAGCTGAAATCGTACGTTTCGTTAATGTGAACTTGTCTAAGCAGAACGACAGATCTGCTATATCGCACTACAGTACCACCACGATTCGACATAAATTGTATGCTGCTTAAATTGTGGCTTTGCCCAGTTGTCTAGTACACAGTTATGTTCTGTCAAACGCAAATACCTGACTGACTGTTCTGAAAAATTTCAATCTACTAGTATAATACAACACTCAAATGTATGTCAGTGAATGCCGTTTGGCACATTGATCTAAGTTATCTTTGTAGCCTACATATTATATCGAACGCTTATTAGAAAACGTCTACGGTATAAGAAATTGGGTTGTATTTTCATGACCTAAATGTTGTCAACGTTGTTGTATTAAAGTTGGACGCTAATTGAAATATCGTCAATGCTAACTACAATCTTTACAACACAACTAAATCCGATACCATTAATTGAATAACTTAGGTTGTTACAAAATTTGTCAACTTATTTCAGCTATATCGCTATTGAAATGGAAAAACCTACAAATCGACCCTAACTATTTGAGAATCGATAAATATTGCAGCACGTCAAACAATGAAAATTTTTATTCATCAATGTTGAATTTATGACAACCATTTACCAATAACTGAGAGAAAATCATATGAAGCGTTTACGTCATTACGTGTAACTATGATCATGTAGGCAAAAATATAAAGTTTATTACATACTATATCACGATATCAATATTCTTAATATATAATTAAACCAATGTATAATTTCATTCCGAAAAGAAATACATGCTGTTCATACTACTGAATTTTACTTTGCCGTCACAGTTATAACCCGATTTCTGAAAATATTACATCTACTACCGCGTCAAATTCATATCACAAATAAGATCTTTACCCATCAATTAAAATAGAAATTGTTACGCCAAGCTACTGACAAGTACAATGAATGAATTTTCCATTATACGTACATACATACAGACATATTATACACAAAGTACAGTCATAGTTGCTAGTGATATAAATATAACATGTCAAACACACCAGTAATCCCTCAGCAGATGGCGGTGATAGACATTTTAAAATCGTGATATCGGTAAAATTGTTAAGTTTACATTTAAAATTAAGTTCCATAGAAAAATTAACGATTATAAAATAGATAACTAACAGTTAAAATTGCTCATAAGGACTGGTCGTGATAAAATCATGTGAATTAATTCAATGAAATTATTTTAGCTGACATTTTAAGTTACTAAAATGATAGCATCTCACTGAAATATTAGCCAGCAAAGATTAACATTAAATGTTCAATATAATATCATCATTGAAAGATTAATTATCATTATCAAGAAATACAGTACAGTATACTCTACTAGCCATAACAAGTCAACAGAATTGGTACTAAAGACATTAGCGATAAGAAATTATCTTATCCTTTTAAAATCACTATCGACATCACAAAGAGCAAAAAGAAGGAAAACGAATCCCTGAAACTTTAAACAAAATTAGGATAAAATATAATGCAGATTATTTAGCAATTACTGTATACGGACTACCAGGAATGTGTTTATCACCCCATTTAACAGTTAATAAGTGAGGACCAGATTCAGCCAGTCGATAACCAACTGTATAAACTTTATCACCTTTATGGTTAACTTTAATTTCATCACACGGAATACTGGGTCCTTTTACTCCAACCATGATAGAACCGTTACCAGCATCAGAGGCGTCTAAAGTAAAATGATTAACACCTTTCCGCGCAGATTGAAGACCAGGTCCTTCAGCAATACATTTCTCAGGTTTAGGTTTATCAGCATCCCTTATTGGGACTCTAAACGGACTGTAAGGGACATGCTTGCCAGCAAATTTAATATTAATAGTATAAATGCCATCTGCTAATGGAAGATAAGTTGCCGTATGATGACCAGGTGTGGTCACTTTATGATTACATCCTGTTTTAACTGGTCCATCAATACTAATATCAACTTCACCAGGGCCGGCATTTTCGGTTAAAACATAAAACTCTGCTACTTCCGATACCTTAGCGTATTTCAGCCCTTTACCGTATGCTTTACATTGCTTTGCATCCCCACCATCAGGATTTACATAGACATAGAACGGGCTACCAGGTATGTGGCGCCCATTTACCGTCATATTAACAGTATGCTTGCCAGGCTCAATGGGTACGAATCGAGCTATATAGCTACCTCTTTCAGTACGAGTAACGCTACCAGGTTCTTTTATGCCCGATGGTGATATAATTGTTACGTCAAGTTCTTCACCTGCAATGTCATCCGGTAATTCAAATAATGAAGCTTCACCAACCGCGGCCTCAGCTCGTTGAATATTTTCATTTACAGGTTTTACCTCACTTTCATCGCTCATAACGTGAACAGTGTATGGACTGTGCGGTATTTCTTTATCGCGGAATATGACATGGATGAGATACTCGCCTGGCACTGGTGGTGTATACGATAGCACATGTGATGTATCATCATTATCATGGCAAAATATCTCAAGAGGTGATGGTCCCTCAATTTCAACTCTGAAACTTTCGGCCGTTTTATCAGTTGTCCACACAGTAAAGTGGCTTTGACGATTAACGAAACCATATTGTAGACCCGGACCGTAAGCAAAACATTTGACTTCTCGACTGTCGCCACCAAATCGAACGCTAACTGGAAATGGACTACCTTGAATATGGCGATTATTTTTCTTTATACTAACCAAATGATCACCTGGCTCTTTGGGCAAGAATTGAACTGTGTACAATTCAGGTGATTCTTCGACAATTTCAGCTTCATAAACGAATCCAGATGGTTGTCGAACTGAAGCCGCTATATTCTCACGCCTTGCGTTAGGTAATTGAAATGCGAATCCTAACGATTTACCAACTTCAGTTTTAGTATCGGGTTGCTCGGTTACTTGAGCAAAAACTTGTCGAAATGTTTGTTTAGCTTGTCTGTCAGGTGCAATATACGGATAAAACAAGCTACCGGGTATATGTTGATCAGCAAATTTAATTTCAATACCATAATATCCAGGAACAGTTGGTGTATATTTGAATGTGCATGTACCGTCTTGGTTATCAATGCAAGTTAATTCAGCCTGCGATGGCCCATGTATATCTACACCCAGTCCACCGTAGCCAGCATCACGGGTATTAACCATAAATTCAGCTTCTTGATTAACAACTCCACTTACAAGACCTGTACCAGTAGCGTAGACTTTCGTCGGATCACAGTAATCCATTGGAAGAACATCGACAATGAATGGACTACCATCGATATGTTTGCCATGCTTTATTATATTGACATGATGACGTCCAAGCTCGTGAGGTACAAAATTTACACCAAACGTACCATCGCGCTTTGGAACTAGCTTGCATGGTTGTGTATTTCCGGATGGGCTAATGACGGTTGCATTAAGATCTCTAACATCTCGATCAGGATTTTCTAGTAAGAAATCGCATAGTTGCTCCAACTGCGTTGTCTTCACTTGTTCCATTGTAACAGCTTCATTGATAACATCAAGTGGTGTTTCAGGCTTGTATGGGTTTTCAGATAGATCATCTAAATCGTCCCAGTTAATTGGGCTATCTTCAGCAGTTGGTGCTTGATCTTTACCAACACTTTCTTCTATAATAGGCTTGGGTGTAACATTACAAGGAAATGGACTACCTGGAATCGGATTACCATTGAAGGTAACATGAATATCATAGTTACCAGGCGCCGTTGGTACAAAATTGACGTCACATGTACCATCACCGTTATCTTCAGAAATTATGTCAGCTTCTTCCGGTCCTTCAATATCAACTGCTAAGCTACCAGTACCAGCATCTTTGCTGTCAATAGTAAATGTTGCCTCTTCGCCAACGGTAGCTTCATCCAGCCCATTACCATACGCTTTACAGTCAGCAGCACCAGGTCCATAGATTACAACATTAAATGGACTACCATGCACATGCTGATTTGCATACTTGATACTGACTTCATGGACACCTATTTCATCCGACTTAAAACTGACTCTGTAAGTGTCATCATCATTATCAATAACCTCGGGATCTATTATTGCTCCAGACGGGCATTTAACTTGAGCGTCTAGATCACCAGGACCTGCTTTAGTAGCGTCAACTTCAATCGGTATTATCTCATCTACCGTAACTAATTTAGCTTCAACCTCATCAGCATTACCAATATCAACACGCTCAGGATTAGTCGCATACCCCTTATCAACTTTAACAGGAAACGGACTGCCAGGAATGTCGTGGTCTGCAAATTTGACGTTAACTTTGTTACGGCCTTGCTCGAAATATCGATATCGGCAAGAAAAAACACCTGGTTCATCTTCATGTTCTTCTAAGGGTATTGGGAATTCATAACCACGAGGAGTTATGAGGCTAGCAGTTAAATTACCACGACCTGCTTCCTTTGCATCAATGAGGAATTTTTGGCGCGTACCAGTTTTATTTCCTGTACGATCCAAGCCAGTACCCGATGCAACACACTTTTCAGGAAATGCAAAAGGGGCTGCTGAAACTTGGAAAGGGCTACCTGGTACATGATCAGCACCAAACTTAATCGTTAGCTGATATCTACCAACTTTTTCAGGCACAAACCGTATATCAGATGTATCATCTCCATTATCTAATATTTCAGGTGCAAGTTTTCTATTATTTGGCGCTTTTAATAACGCTGTAAGATCACCTAAGCCTGCTTCTGAATAGTCCACATGAACGCATTGCTCATCTTCAACATACACTGGCTCACCGTTTAAGCAATCACCTTCAACATTGACTTTACTTGCATCGTAAGCTGGCAAAATGCGAGTACTAAAGGGACTACGTGGTATCTCTTTGCCAGCGTACTTGACCTTAATGTAACAAAGACCTTCATTTTTAGGCGTATAACTCACGTTATAAATACCTTCACTGTTATGAGTTATCTTATTATCAATATGATGACCAGATTGAGTTTTGATGTCAACTTCTAATTCAGCATCACCAGCTTCAGAGGTATCTACAATAAAATTAGTTTCATGTTGAGCGCGATTTCCAGTTTTTTCAATACCAGGGCCAGATGCAACACATTTACTTGGATCAAGTGGGTTAGCCACATTAACTGGAAATGGACTACCAGGAATCGCTTCATCACCATAAGTTATGTGAAATTCATAAACGCCACGACGAGGAGGTGTATAAGTTACTTCGCACCTTCCATCACCTAATTCGTTGCAAGTTAATGGTGCATCAACTGGGCCATCTACAGATATATCAAGATTACCATACCCGGCTTCCCTAGTATCGATAATGAAGGCAGTTGCAATATCAGTTATAGCACCTTCTAGACCAGGACCATAAGCTGATACTTTCGATGGATCCAGTGGCAACTCCGCAAAAACACTAAATGGGTTATCAGGCACGTCTTCATTGTGATACTTTATATCGATAACATAGTCACCCTCACTTGGAGCAACATACGTGACATTAAAGATCAATTCTGGATCCTGTTCAATTGCTGCTTCAACATAAACACCAGTTGTACTTTGGATGTAAACATCGAGCTGTGATGGTCCAGCATCAATTGCATCTACGGTAAACTTACTTTCTTCACCAACATAAACTGGGTTTTCCAATCCATTACCTGATACGATGATTTTCGAAACGTCTACGCGATGATCAACATTAATCGTAAATGGACTACCTGGAACAGGTTGATCGCCGTAACTAATATTGGCTGTCATAGGTCCAGCTACTGTTGTAGAATACTCAGCTGTAAAAATGTCCTCATTTTCCTTGACTACTAACGGAATATGATGGCCATCAGCATCTTCTAGGTCAATTTTTAATTGAGCATCTCCAGCCATTGTTGTATCTACGGTAAGATAGGTTGCTTCATCTTCAATTAAACCATTTTCTAAACCTGGCCCACCAACAATACATTTTGAAGCATCCACAGGGTAAACAATAGTAGCGACAAAAGGACTATTGGGTATTGCTTCGCTAGCAAACAGAATATTGATTGTGTATTGGCCTGGTAATATGGGAAAATAATTTACAGAACATGTACCATCTCCGTTATCAAGTGAATCAATTTCGGCTTCAGTAGGTCCATCGATAGTAACTCCGATATCACCATCACCAGCTTCAGTGGTATCGATTGTAAAATCTGTGGATGCACCTACAAATCCACTAACAAGACCCGGTCCAAATGCTTTACATTTTGATGGATCACTATAAGGCCCAACATCGACTGTGAATGGACTGTTTGGTATATGAACGCCAGCAAAGTAAATATTTACTTGATGAGGACCTTCAATTTGTGCTGTATAATCCACGTTGTAGTCTATGTCGCTTGTATCTTCTAGATCATAATCAACGGCATTATTATTCGGATCAACAATATCGAGAGTTAATTGACCTGGACCAGCTCCTTCAACACTAACTTCAAAAGATGTAGCAAATCCAACTCGTACACCTGGCTCGAGGCCAGGACCTAAAGCAAAGCATTTAGACGGATCGATACCAGGGCCAACATTTACTTTGAATGGACTACCAGGAATGTCATCAGCACCGTACATAATAATGACTGTTAGACGGCCTTGCTCACATGGTGTATACTCCACAAGATATGTACCATCTGAATTATCAATAATATCAACATCATATGGGTTTACTGATGATTGCGGATGACTAGCCTGCACAATATGACCTTCAAAGTCACACGATAATTCAGCTATGCCAGCTTCGGTACAATCAACTATAAATTCTGTTCGGAGTCCAGAATGTAAGCCAGTTCTTTCCAAACCAGGACCACTAGCATGCACTAAGGATGCATCATAGGCTTTTTCGACCCTAACGTTATATGGACTCTCTGGTATGTGATCATCACCATATTTTATAATAACTGAGTAACGCCCTGGAATTGGGGGTGTATACTTCACAGTAAAAGTACCATCGCCGTTTTCGATGATTTCAGATATTATTTCCTGATTTTGGCGTGACTGCAATTGATTAACTACGTCTACAGTTAGGTCCGCCATACCAGCCTCAGATGCATCGACCGATATATAAGTTTCTTGTAAGGCTTTAACCCCGGCTGGTTCAATACCAGGACCATCTGCAGTGCACTTAGATGCATCCCAACTTGGATCAACTCTAACCCGATATGGACTTCGAGGGATATTCTCACCACCAAATATTATGGTAATAATGTAAAAATCGGGTACCCATGGTGTATAAGTAACGGTAAAGGTATCATCGCGATTATCGACAATACTAACATCGGCTTCATTACCCTTGACATCCTCGACGATAATCATCAAATCCCCTAATCCAGCTTCGCTTGTATCGACTATGAAATCAGCTGGATAACCGGACTTCAAGCCGGTTCTTTCTAAGCCTGGACCTTTGGCTGTACATTTACTAGGATCGCAAAAAGCTGCCTCGATTACTGGAGAGTAAGGACTTTGCGGATATTCCTCATCACCAAAATAGACATGAATCTTGTAAGTACCTTCAACAGGGGCAACATATGAAACTGTACAAACATTTTCGTGAGTATCCGAGCATTCGATTCCAGTTTCAGCCGGGCCTTCAATAGAGAAACTCATTGGATCTGTTAATTCCGTTTCAGTTTTTACTTTAAAATATGCATACTTATCGACAACACCTCGGCGTAAACCACGTCCGTAAATTTGTATACCACTAAAATCTTTACCTTTTTCAACGTTAACAATATATGGGCTATCTGGTATATGCTCGTCATCATACAATACAGATATATTGTATTCGCCAGGTTCAATAGGACGATAATTAATTACATATGTACCATCAGCATCCGGTTTCATTTGACAATCTATCTCATTTCTGTCTTGATCTTCAATTATAATTTTAAGAACACCAGCACCAGCTTCTACAGTGTCCACTTCGAAATATGTGACTTTATTGGCGATTAGTCCATAACGTTCTAAACCAGGTCCACTTCCTAAGCATTTACTTGGATCAGCGTGAGGACTGACATTAACATCAAAAGGACTACCAGGTATATGGACACCACTAAAGAGAACACTAACACTATGCATTCCGATTTCGGTGGGAGCATAAGTAACTTGATAATCCGTATCATTTTCTTGTTCAATTTCTGGAACTACTTCTCCACCTGGGCCATCAACAATGACCGTCAATTCACCTGGCCCAGCACCATCAGTAAAAACTTCAAATTCTGAATCATGCTCAGTAACTACGCCGTTAGGTGTTAGGCCATCACCTTGAGCTAAACATTTACTCGGATCGATACCAGGGCCAATATTAACCCTAAATGGACTGTCAGGAATATCATCAGAACCGTATAAAACCGATATAATTAATCTGCCTTCACTGTACGGTGTATATGATATAACATACACGTCTTCATTATCTCGATAAACATCAACATTATACGGTGAATCTGAAGTTAAAGGATCGTCAGCATGGATAACGTAACCTTCAAAGTTTAACGTAAGGTCAGCAATACCAGCACCTGAGGTATGGACGTAAAATTCTGTCGCTTTACCGACATGATTTCCCTTTCTTTCCAAGCCTTGACCTTCCGCAACACACTGTGATGCATCATAACCTTTGCCGACGGTGATAAGATATGGACTATCTGGTATATGTTTATCACCATATCTAACATTAATAGTGTAACGACCAGGATTAGGTGGTAAAAATCGAACTAAAAATGTTCCATCTTCGTTGTTAATAATATCAGGAGCGATATCTTGGTTATTTCTTGGTCCAACATGATTGATAACTTCTGCCGATAATTCAGCAGTACCAGCGTCAGTTGCATCTATCTCGAAGTAGGTCTCTTCAAGTGCTTTAACACTAGCTGGTTCAATACCTGGGCCGGTTGCAATACATTTCGAAGCGTCCCAGCTAGGATCTACTCTAACTCTGTAAGGACTACGTGGTATGGGTTGATTACCAAATAGAATGGTAATAACGTAGTATTCTGGTGCAGTCGGTGTATATGTAACAGTAAAAGTGTCATCGCGATTGTCAACAATACTAACTTCAGCCTCGATTCCTCTAACATCTTCGACAATGATCATTAAATCTCCAAGTCCAGCTTCGCTAGTGTCAACAGTAAAATCAGCAGGGTAGCCGGTCTTAAGGCCAGTTCGATTTAATCCTGGTCCTTTGGCAGTACATTTACTAGGATCGCAAAATGCAGGCTCAATTTTTGGAAAGTAGGGACTATGTGGATATTCCTCATCGCCGAAGAAAACATGAATAGAATATGTTCCTTCAACATCAGCAACATAAGAAACAGTACAAGTATGATCACCATTATCCGTACAATTGATTGTAGCTTCGGCGGGGCCTTCAACAGCAAAGCTCATTGGATCAGTGAGATCAATTTCTGTTTTAACCGTAAAGTAAGCGTATTTATCCACGACACCACGACGTAAACCACGACCATAAATTTGAACGCCACTAAAATCTTTACCTTTAGCGACATTAACAAAGTACGGGCTACTAGGAATATGATCATCGGCATAGATTACGGATACGACGTATTTACCCGGCTCCAATGGGCGATAATTAACTAAATAGGTACCATCTTCATTATCTTTAATTGTCGCAACTACATCTTGATTATCTTCATCCTTAATATCGATTTCTAAATCACCTATGCCAGCATCAGCTGTATCTACTTCAAAATATGTCGCTTGATTTGCTTGCAGACCGGTATTTTGTAAACCTGGACCACTACCGTAACATTTACTTGCATCAGCATGAGGTCCAACGTTAATATTGAATGGGCTACCAGGAATATTAACACCACCAAAAAGGATCGTTACAGTATGCATACCTTCCTCATTAGGTATATAATTGACAGCAAAATCGGTATGAACATCATTTTTAGCTTCAATTTCAGGATCTACGTCACCAGATGGCCCTTCTACAACAACTGCTAATTCACCAGGACCAGCACCATCAGTAAAAATCTCAAAATGAGCTTGATATTTCGTTACAACTCCAGTTGGTGCTAAGCCGGGACCTTGTGCTAGACATTTACTTGGATCAATTCCAGGCGCAACAATGACCCGAAATGGACTGCCTGGTATATCATCGGCACCGTATAGGACAGAGATTGTTAACTGTCCTTCATCAATAGGTGTATACGATACAGCATAGCATTGGTTATCGTTTGTCACAACGTCAACATCATAAGGGCTCTCTGAATTATAGGGATCGCTAGCATTAATAACGAATCCTTCAAAGTTAAGCGTTAACTCTCCTTGTCCAGCTTGGATTGTATCAATTTGAAATTCGGTTCGTTGACCAACATGATTACCTCTTCTTTCAATACCAAGGCCTTCGGCATGACATTTACTAGCGTCGTAACCTTTATCGACTTTAATACGATACGGACTATCGGGTATATGTGCATCACCGTATTTTACAACAACAGTATACCTACCAGGCTTTGGCGGTGTGAATTCAACTGTAAATGTACCATCATTATTATCAATAATATCAGCAAGTAGTTCTTGCGATTTAGTGCCACCGGTTTGCTGACTGATTTCAACCATTAATTCTGCAACACCAGCTTTAGTTGCGTCAACATTAAAATGGGTTACTTCCATAGCTTTAACGCCCACCGGTGCAATACCAGGACCATTGGCTTTACACTTGGATGCATCCCAACTAGGATCAACTTTGACACGAAATGGACTTCTCGGAATTGGTTGATTACCATAATGGATAGATATTCTGTATCTGTCGGGATCAACAGGCGTATACTTCGCGGTAAAAGTATCGTCTCTGTTGTCAATGATGTCTACATCAAGTTCATTTCCTTTAGAATCTTGGATTGCGATCATTAATTCACCTAGACCAGCTTCACTAGTATCAACAATAAATTCAGTTTCGGTACCCGATAGCAACCCAGTCCTATCTAAACCAGGTCCACTGGCGTTACATTTACTAGGATCACAAAATGCTGGGACCATATCAGCAAGGTAAGGGCTTTCAATGTATTCTTTCTCACCAAATAGGATGTGAATCGAGTACTGGCCAGGTGCTGAAGCAACGTAAGCAACATCGCATTTGGCATTATCATCTTCATAACATTCAACCGTTGCCTCAGAAGGGCCTTCAATATGTAAACTCATAGGTTGAGTAGTTTCTTTTAAAGTTTCAATTGTAAAATAGGCATTTTTATTAACTACTGCGTGATGCAATCCTCGCCCATAGACTTTAATTATATCTAATTCATCTTTAGAAGCAACATCCACTTCATACGGACTACCAGGAATATCTTCATTGGCGTATCTGATAGTGACACGATGCATTCCATTAGTAGTTGGTGTATAGCTGACTGTATTGACTAGTTCCTCTTCGTTATGTTCGATTACAGGCCGCAATTTACGACCTTTACTATTTTCTATCACGATCTCAAGATTAGCATCGCCCGCTTCCGAAGTATCAACGGTAAATTGTGTGCTTCTGTTAATAATAACACCGCGAGGTTCGATACCAGGCCCATGAACACGGACGCGACTGGGATCAACACCTTGTTGAACATGAATGCGATGTGGATTACCGCGAACTGGCTTGCCACCAAAAAAAATTTTAACAGTATGTAGACCAGAATTTAATGGTTTGTATTCAACTTTAAATACATTTTCGTTAACTTTTTCCATAGCAATTTCAATGTAATCAGATGCTCCATGAGAATCGAAGACTTCCACTGCTACTTCACCAGAGCCAGCACCTTTAGTTAGCACATTAAAGTATGTAAATTCGCCTGCAACAACACCAGTTGAAGCTAATCCTGGTCCTTCAGTGCGAACTCGATTAGGATCGCAAAATGACTGCACTTCTACATGGAACGGGCTCTTTGGCACATGTTGACCGTAAAATATTACATCAATAACGTAATTACCGTCAATGGTCGGATTGTAAGCGATAGTATACGTTCCATCTCCATTATCTTCGACTTGACTTAAATCAACATCTCGTCCATTTGGATCAACAACGGCAATCTCCAATTCGGCTTCACCAGCGCCACGCGTATCGACAATGAACTCAGCTTTTTCATGTGCTAATAGACCAGTTGGCTGAATGCCACGACCTTTAACTTTAACTTTCGTTGGATCGCAATCACCAGGTAATTTAACGCCAGGTTTCAATTTAGCTTCTGGAAAAAATGATACATATGTCATAACACTTTTTTCATCTACCTTGGGATTAACCATATCTTCTGGTGTTAGTACCTGTAAATATATCAATAGTAAAAGTAAGTAACGTACATATTTCACGTATGCGTTGTATAAAATATACATAGTGATAATACTTGTTTACTATCAAAACAAGACTTTGAATTAACCAATTTTTACAATTAGACCGCAAATCTGCATAAAATAGAAACTACCAAATTAGTAGTACCCTATCATCATGGCTGTTACGATACGATACAATATGAAAAGACGACATGACTAGCTATAAAATGAGATAATCTATAGCAGTAATATATAATTTAAAAGCAAATTCTAAGTCAATAATTAATAATCGATAAAAAATTTATGCATTATCTTTACAATAGTGTCTTACCAAAGAAGCCAGTAGAATAAGGAATAAAGTACAAATAAGATGTATTACAATATAATGATGCTAACTGTTTTCACTATTTTATTTGAGAATTTGCTATTCGTGTTAAACTAACCATGGGTACATCCAAGCAGTCTGATGCTCTCTCCATTGCAACGGTAGCATTTTCAAGGGCATTGTGTGGATTAGCAGTTTCGTATTCTGGACACAAGCCAGGCGCAATATTGTCCACTAAGGCTTGAATAGCAATTCCATCATTCCAATCCCTAGTAAAATTGTTCACTTTATAGTCTTTAGGAAGGACATCGTTGACCCAATTTAGTAGGGCTTGTTTAGCACTGACTTTTTGAGGTTTTTCTACTGGTGATGGTGGCTGATTCATTGGATTAGCTTGATTATTTTGCATATTATCAGCAGTAATGACGTCTTCAGGCACCTTGCGAAGTGCCGGCTGAATGGTAGGTAGAGAAATTTGAAAATGTAAAATCAGCTTCCATATTAATCCCAGTATCAGTTTACTATTACCATGGATGATATGGCCACTATCTATATGATGATAAAGAAAAGTGTAGGCATTATAAAATAAGCGCACGCTACCAGGTAATGTCATGGATAGCTGCTATCTCATCATGTTTTTATCTAATTAACTCTTCAACTTGTAGCATACAGAGTTGTCACTGACTATACTTATCGATTTTGAATCAAATTCTAGCATAGATTATTCTTGTAATAATTTATTTAACATTAATGATAACATCATTATAAGATTATACAATATACAGTATACTGTACGTGTCTATCAGCGAGAAAATTTCCTTCTTTTCTGTATCATTATGCCAATATAATAATTACGAAAAGTTGCAATACTAACAGTAAGTATGCTAAGCATAGTAAGTAATTCGCGACAGACAAATCGATACACCTGCATATATTTTTTAAGATTGATGAGGTAATCAAATTAGCAGTAAATTAACTACAATTTGTTATAGTATATTTAAATCTAGGATCAAATTGGTTAATCACGCTGTAATAGTATTAGCGTACATCGCATATAAATCAAAATTTTGAAGGCAGTTAAAAATGATATAGAAAAAGAAATTGATTAGTTGATTGAATTTGATGTTATAAGAGTCTTGATGATATAAATGAACTTTAACTATGATTCTATTTTTATTCGATAATTTTACGGTATGCATAAATAGAATTATCATTACCTTAGCTGTACTACACCGGTATACTAAGTCTATTCTGCTGTAATTCTCGTAAAGATTGAAGGTATTTTTAACGTTGATGTAGACTAGACTATTACGATACATAATAGTAGTCATCATGATGATAGAAGGAATCATTTCATTTCATTTTCAACGTACTACTTGATATTGAACGATGATAACTACATTCACTAGTACAGTACTATCCATAATATGCCATCGACAGTACAGTACAGTACACCCTTGACTTTACAGCCACCATCAATTTCTACGGAAGGCGGATGATTAAATGGCCGTTTAACTACACTAAGCCATATATTTTTAAAGTCCTGCATGGACACCATACAGTACAGTACAGTATATATATATATATAGTGTATGTAGGAAAGACCATAGGGTGCTGACCCAGAGGGAGGGGGTGGCCGGAATAATTAATCAAAAGGGTGTGCTGTACATTTAAATAATGGACTATGCCAAGAAAAATACAGTAGTATTATTCTGCTCCTATCATGGACAGTACTAGAGTTTATTATGATTTTGCTCGTTATTGAAATACAGTAGGTAAGCGAAAGAAAAAAAGACATTTTTCCGCATCTAAAAGCTGTTTGATATCTGCAAAACAATACAACATATTGCTGTATCAACCCATCTTGGATTGCAGAGTACAAAGTCGCTAAAAGCAGTTATACTGGACTGTAGAACATATATATTGAGTATACTGTACGCATACATAATAATACAGTATATACCAATTCTTTTCTTACCTATACTGATGAGTGAAATACCAAGACTTTCAACAAAGCGTAAAGCCGTTGAAACATTTTCAATTTTATGCTGAGGAAAACTAATCTTTCGATGGTAGCCTTTGATGATTCTCCCCGATAGTATTTCCAATAAAGCAATTAGTTTCAATCCATCAGCAAAATCTTTAAATAAATCATTAATTTGCAAGTTGCGAGTTTTCAAGTGTTGGTTACACCATCTTGTAAAAGTATTTTTTTGAATTCTTTTCCATTCCGCATCTTCGGCCATATTCTCCAACATTTCAATTGGTGTTTCATCCTCTCTGTAATATGGCATCATGATAAAATGAGTTTACAGTTATTGTTATGCTTATTATCTGCTCGTATCTATGACACCGTATCCCTGTACTTTTACGTAGCAATGATTATTCGATTTACGATTCTAAATTTCATTTCTACTGTGGTATTGATCAACATTTCTTCTTTTTAATTGATGAAATGGTGATCAGTAGGTTTTGGCTGTTTAGTATAATAGTAATACAGTATTCCAATTTATTCTTGAGTTGTCGTTGTCTAGTACAGTAAAGTGACATTCGTGGAAGGTAAAACCGGGTTGAATTTTACTGTATGTGTCAAGTATACTTGTATAGTCATTCCTGGTATAGTCCAGTACAGATTGCTGTTACTGTACAGTATATATAGAGTACAGTAGTAACTGGCAAAGTCGGCGTTTTCTGCTAACAAGTAAAGCCTGGCTCGATTACATTGCCAGTACTGATAGTTGTATTTAGGTTGATACTAATTTCCAAGAAACGAAGCTTATTGCTATTTTCACTACTAAAGATCATAAAGCAATTCGATGCCGTTAGTTGTGAGTAATAAATCGATGACGGTTTAATACTGTCAAAATCGACGTTTTCTCCTATAAAGTCAAGCCCAGTTCGATTTCATTGCCAGTACTGGCTACAGTATATAAACGTGAACCCACTAGCTGCGTGTTTGCGTTCATCATGATATCAAAGTAATAAACCTTGGAGCTATTTCCACTACTAAAGATTGTCCAGAAATTCGATCCCTTCAGTCAAGTGTAAAACGAGAGCAGTTTAATACAATCTATATTGTACTGTACACTATGCACAGTACGGAGGCAGCGTACTGTACTGTACTATTTCCATTACAACAGATTAGCCTTGATGGTGTCAAAGTCGGCGTTTTCTGCTCAAAAGTAATGTCTAGTTCAATTTCATTACTAGTGGTGACTGCAGTACATAAACGTGAACAACGTCGTATCTGCATTTGCCATGCAGTCGTCATATCTAAGACAAAAAGAAAGTAAGACAATTTTGTTGCTATTTTCACTACCAAAGAAGGTAGAGAAATGCCATGCCTGAATAATTGTGTGCTTTTAAAACGACAGCGGTCGAAGAGAGTATTTCATCATTCCGCTAAATCAACAACGGATGAGCCTAGATGCTGTCGAAATCGACGTTTTCTATGCATATCGAATGGATTGTAATGGACGACTTGATCATTTTATATCCACATCAAGATAATAATGATAACGTGCAAAGTTTAATCCGCATTTTTTTTCTCTCAGGTAAGGCACAGTGTGACCGCGTATCCAGTCTATACTGTACCACTAGTGTTAGGGCCACGAGCGCGCGTTGTGCTGTATCCCTACCGATTGGAAGGATCAAGTGACAGATCGAAGGATACGTAATCTCTCCAACATGTCATTATCGATTGAAAATAATATGACTGGCATTACAATGACTACAAAAATAAAAAAAGAAATACTTGGCCATGATTGGCAACAAAATGTAATGGATTGGTTGATTGCGAACATGCATGGAAGAAATGGGATTGATGAAAAAGATTGTTTTAGCGTCACCATTGATATAAGCATACCTGATATCTTGATTTTTCTTGCGAGAAGTCATCTTTCTATGAATTGTGCTTCTAACGCACTCCACTACTGTATACTAGCTCAGAAACAGGATAATACTCCACAGGAGTCAATCAATAGCGATTTAAACTTGTGGGAAACGAATTTTTCACTGTCAAATTTTGGCAATTAAGTAAAAGAATTGGGCTAAGCTGCAACAATTTTTCAACAGCTCATCCCCCAAAGCTAACTGACTAGAGTACTGTAGAGTGTAGACAAGCGGCTGTCACTTGAGTGTGTATTTTAATTATTGATTCACTGACGAGGAATGCATAGTTAAGCGTCAACGCCAACATCGACGTCACACGCTGTAAACAATGTTGTTGTTCGTTGTGCGTATTATACTGTACAGTGTACAGTACTGTATAATAAGTCGAGAGTACAGTGTACAGTACAGTACAGCATTATTTTCGACAGGGCAAGCGAGACCGCAGGTACTCGCACACCATGCCGTGCGAGGTGCAACTGCAAGCTCGATGTTATGTCAGTAAACTCAGTACAGTACAGTACTGTCTGTACTGTAGTGTGCAAGCCCCACCCATAGATTGAAGGTGGCAAAGAAAACCAACCCGTTGACGCGGTTGAGCCATGATTAATGAGTGGCAATAATTTGAACCATTGGCTTTTAAATTTTCCAATCCGATTATAATATGGATAAGCTATCATGGACGGTAGAAATATGAAACACAGCTATGCCAACTCTAAAATGAATCACAGCAAGGGCTGCATGGTGTAGAGTATTCCCCTTCATATTCAATATAGGGAAAAAATCGACGCGATAGACGTACTCGTGTCTACACTATACTCCACAATCAAAAAGAAACAGATACAACCCTGACCCTCCTGCTTGCTTTTTGAAATTTAAAAGTCCATTGACCCAAGCCAGAACACAAAATAGACCATATTAGCATAGAGGCTATTGTTAACTTGGACAATAACTAATGGTGATAGAATGGATAAACGCAAAGCTGTTATAGCAACCATTGGATAGCGTTGCCACAAGAATCCACCCACAAGCGAGTAACCTTCTAATTTGAGCCTGGAGTCATCATCATTAATTAGTGCTATCAGTATTCTACCATACAATATTCTGTACGAGTACTGACTAATATAACCACGCCCGATTACTCACCACAGGTCATCAGCACACGATGTCGATCGCTGAAATCGACATCATGAACCAATTGATCGTCTTCAAACTTGTAGCAAGGCTATGCAGTAAACTAATATTGAATAAATTAGGTTCAAAGAAATGGATTCAAATAATGTCCTACTTCCTTCAATTACTGAGTCATGTCGATAACGCATAGCTAGGCGTGCAGGGTTTAGCGAGTTAATGATAAAATTACAGGTGGAACCGAGTACTGTCCTATGTACAGTGCTGCATCAATTTTAAATTCCGTTATCCACGTACGTGTCCATAAAATCCTCGACAAACACATACAAAATGCGATTTGAATATGAATGCAAATTTATACTGTATACACAGTGCTGCATAATCATCTTAGCAACATGCAACATTTTGATCAATGCCAGCATTGAAAAGAGAAGAATAAGAAGAAATAAAAATAAACAAACTTACAGTAATCTAAAGGCATGATACTATACTTGAATGAGCCCTAAGTGAGTCATTTAATAAATAAATAATAATAATATAATAAACTATCCATGATCAACAATTCTAACGACTGCCTACCTCAGCGTAAATTGCTCTGCCAAGTTACTATAGTACTCTTGTACGATTATGCAGCCCACTGTACTGTATTGTACTGTACCCTGTATATACAGTTTACGTATGTCGTGAGAAACTTTCACGACAAAATCTGAACTAGAAGCCATTACGCCTATCAACCCGGACATATATATAACATGTATATATAAAAACTGTCATTACTACAAATTTATCCAAATTTTAAGCTATTGCAATGAACTAGACAGCTCTCTATAAACATCTTTAGTAATCGTGTCGAGTTAATCTCTTTATAAACAACCAGCAACCCCAGATGAAAATGACCGAATAAGAACGATTTTTCCATTAGCTAGCATGAATACACCAAATTGTGTAATCTTAGTTTACAATGGCACTAATCCTAAAATGAATAGCTTAAAACTTTGATTTGCATCAATTTTTAATAAGCCATAATGATGGAAATTGCAGAAGGATAGCCAGTTTATCTCATTTTTTTTTTTTTGGAATGCCAATAACAAATAAACAAATACGACATTCCGGCAGATCATTCTGCAGCGAACGATAACAATTGAAAATACATATTAATGATTAATCTATATTACTCATTTTACCCTTGTTGCAAATCAGTTTAGAAATACTTGTAATAGTACATTGATAAAACACTTCATCCAGGGCCTCATCAATGACGACCTGTTGTTTCACTAAAATTAACAATCACTCTGTCATCGGTAAGTAATCACCTTATGAAAGGCTACCTTGTCACAGTATATTGTAAATCAACAACTGAAGCCCCATTGTACAGTACATTCTATTCGTTTAAAATTAGCTAAAGTCAAGCTTTTAATTTACTGCGTCGATATTCTTATAGCCATTACGTTAAAATATCAACGTAGTTTATTAAACTACTAGTGGGGTCACAGAACACGATTAGCAATTATTGTGTCTATGTTCCACTATATGATATACTTACGATTAGTACACATACACCGTTATGACAGAACGTGTAAACGAGCATACAGTACAGGTACAGTAAAGACAGTAGATATCTACTTTGCAGACAACCTACTGTGAATAAGATGATAGAATTTTACCACTACGGTATGGGAACACTTATTTTGAAAATTCAATCACTCAAGCACACTAACAATACAGAAAGAAATATTCTCGTATAATAAGTAATAGCAGATTAAAAATAAGCATTATCATAGGCGCAGACGCTATAATGTACCGTACACTTAATACTAAATAGACTCTATCAACGATATGCTCATTCCTCTTTTCTATTCCACGTGTTACCAAGATTTCAGCTGAAAATATATTCTCTTCGTAGCATCGATAAATAAATTGTTATTGCAGTAGTAATGCTGTTGTCTTATAATTCAGCAAATGCTTTGTATCATTTGAATGACGTAAAGTTAATATTTATTTACTTGACGCTGTTTCGCATGATGAATTATTTTTGTATTGTTGCAAGGGCTCTAGTAAGCTGTAGGTACTGGTAAACTATAGCTATCATTCTATAATTAATTCAGGTTCCAGTATTTATAGTCAATAACAAAGACGATCAATATCAGTCATATTAAAAGATAAATATGATATAGCCATGTTCGATATACGTATGAATAATAACTCAATACTCGTATTAAGTTGCTGTTGGTATTTACAGTTGATTCGAAACGTGAGTTATCAAACCATGGACAACGGTACTACTACGTAGACTGAAATGACAACCTGCTTGTCCAATCTCGTAGTTTAAACTTTACTTCTATCGATCACTCGTTTAATACCTGAAACTTCCATCTCAGAAGTTTTTCATCTTATTTTACACTATTTTACGCTGTGGATAACAGACCATGTAAAGGATTACTACAGAGCTATTCAAATTGCTGTTTACCTCACTGCACAGCTTACTTACATGTAAGAAGAACATAATCAATAATTCTATATGCCATAAATCATCTCTCTCAGGACACCAAAGCTGAATAGCTATGATTCTTTAATCGGTTTAAATTTCGTATCCCTTTCAAATTTAAGATTTGAAAACCTAACTATGAAGATTCCATTGCAATGACGACAACGCTATACCTGGAGTCATCGCCTTATACCTTTTACAGGTTAGAAAATACAAGGCAAATGAATAAGACTGTTATAAATTCTCAATTCGTACGGTTATAAGGCCTGAATATCTTTGTGGGTACTTTTCTAGTTGAGAAAAAATCTCAGCTTAAAAGATACGACAAGATTCCACATCAAATTCATAAGCCAGATTGGTGCACCATTTATATGCTTAAAAACTGACCATAGCTGCACTATAACTTACAAATTAGAGCCTTACTAAAGCATTAACGAAAAAGCTGCAACATGCCACAACACTAATTTATAGCGTTATGTCAAATTAAGATGGAGTCTTCATTTTATGTCCTACAGCATATCGCGAATCGAAGCAGACACTTTCGTTTTACTCAGTTTTCTTCCGTGCCTAAGTGATTGTTACAGCGTATCGCAACTTCATTTAATAGATACAGTACTCATTTGTATTACCTCAGATGTGATCAATGATGCAAATATTTACTAGTCTAATTCAAAATTAATGCGGCGTGCTAATTATCATCAAAAGAACAAACGTGGTTATTCAGTAATATACAGTATTATTCTGAATCGTTTTAATATTGGTTACATTTGAAATGAATCCTTTCTTAAAAACTCTCATAAACTCTATGAATTTATATCATTTGTTGAATGAAAACAATTATTATTCAAGTTATCACATGTACGCAGCCATTGATTACTGGGTATCGAAAGTTCAATAATGTAGTTTGCTACTAAATCAGGTATATTATAGTAAGCACGTTTGGGATACAATATCTGCTAATGTATTGACGTAATGATTAAAACAATTAGTACATTGTAACATTTCATAATGCGTATCCCGCTCACATTTCGTATTCTGTGTAGCCCTATTTAAAGTGAAATAGTGGCAATAAGGTCTGTTGATTCCCCGATACTACATAATCAAGCAGTAAGCAGTTGATGCTACGCGATACGCTTGAGATCCTTAAAGGATCCTGTAGAGGTACTTCCTTAATTGGGATGACTGTTGGCAATTTTGGAATAGTACTGTGCTATCATGTCGAATATGTCTTTAATTGAACAATTTTAATTCAATTTTTTAAAATCCTAGTGACACTGTCGGAAATATATCTCAGACCGTAGTACTCGCTTTTGTCAGCGGCATACTATAAAAAGACTGAAGAAATGATTTTGAAAACACCGAGAGAAAAGTTTAGATTGCTGACAAGCCTAAT